TGCAAAATGAATACAGCGCGAGTAATTTGAAGTTCGCTTTATTTTTCGTTAATAAAAATATGGACTTGATAAGAAACGTTTGACATCATCTAATGTGCTACCTCAACAGCAAATGACCACTATTTCATACAATATTTTTACACTGAAAATTTTCCAATTTCATCTTAAGTGAAGGAATAGGACTATGACAAATCATTTTTTTTTACTAAGGAAAATCAAAAAATATGGGACCACATGGCAAGCAGCAGCTTTTAAAGAAAAAAAGAATTATCAAAATCGATTACAGTCGAGTTGAGAACTTCCTCCCTTTTGAAGATAACGGTGGTAGAGCCACGCAGCAGCCTCGGCTGTTGCACGAATGGGCAGGCTCGTCCGGGTAAGTACCACGATCTCACAGAAGACCGGCGTAAAGTGGAAGTCTAGTACTTTCGCGTTTCGTCTGGTGAGTGAGGTAGCCGGAGCCCAATTTCCAAAAAGGTTGTCAACGCATCTGCAAACCTTCGGGTGTAGCAGATATCCATGGGCGGCGGTATTCACTTAACATCAGGTGAACCGTCTACTCGTTTGGCAACTTTTCACATAAAAAAAAATTAATATCCTATGTTGAAAATTAATATCCTATCCCAGACTATTGTCCTGGAATGACAAACAAATATTGCGTGCAGAAATTATCTGATGTATTTTACCAAATGCGATGCAACCTAACGCTTGACAACGTACTAAATACCCAAGCGTGCAGATATAATTATTGTTATAACAGAGATCGAAGTATGGAATTCAAATACTGAACATTTTTATTCAATATTTTTAGGGTACTTTCAAGTCATGATTCTAAAGAGCTTTTAAAAGTTCGCGATTGAACATGTGAATTAAACAAACTTTCGTTCTTTAAGTTTTTCCAGATAATGTTTAGATATTCGAAAGCTACCTAACAATATTATTGTACTTAGATAATTTAGATAATGTCAAATATGAGAAACAGAAGCACGTTCATCCCAAGGCTTAGAAAGCTGCAACGGCTTTAATGAAAAAAACCATGTAAAAAAGCACTAGTGCGCTATCTAAAAATAGTCGTTTCAAAATAGATAGCAACAATTTACATAAAACGAAATCTGTTTTAGAATTTCAACCGACTCCCGTTACTCTAAGGCTTATATTCCAATAAACCACGTGGTGGCTCTATTCTGAGATGTCTCTAAAGTTCTATTTTCAATCTAAATCCAGCTGTAACTAGTTTTTGCGGGGTCGCTATTAGCGGCGGACTTCTAGGCGCCACCGAGGTTTACGAGAGTTCATATCACTCATCTTAATCACACGGAGGCTGTGCATTTACGGAAGCGCTGTAAGCACTCTTGTGTTTTTTTTTATGGGAAAAAAGCAGCAAACGAGCAGGAGGCTCACCTGAAGGTAAGTGATCACCGCCGCCCATGGACATCTTACATGACTCTTGTATTACATCTTCATTTTTAAAAAGTAACTCACATAATGTCATTAATATTATATCGCTGTTTATGGGTCACTAGCTGTTAACCGATTCAATAAAAATGAGTTTTAATCCCCTTTGGCCGAATTTTTGGTAGATGGCTGAATTTTTTCCTACTTAGTTGGCAGTTATCATTTCTGGTTGGGTACCGGCACGTTGGACTTCCGGCACAGTGATAACTGTGCCGGAAGTCAAAACCCCAACCAGCGCTGATTTTCAGTGCTGACTTTCATGCTTTATAATAAATCGATGCCGTAATCCTTACTAGTCCTTACTAACCCTCATCCTTACTAATATTATAAACGCGAAAGTTTGTATGTATGGATGGATGTTTGTTACTCTTTCACGCAAATACTACTGAATGGATTCTAATGAAACTTTACAATAATATAGCTTAAACATCAGAATAAGACATAGGCTATAATTTATATACATATTTTACGTATATCTGTCTTTCTGTCTGAATGTTACGCCTTCACCCTATTCTACGCAGACTTAGTCGCGGGCAGCTAGTTAAAAATGCAACATTACGGGACACGTTTTTACACAATGCGTCTCAAAGTAAGCAAAGCTCTTGCTATGGATATTAGGTAACTGATTAAAATACTTAAACGTACTTTTCTTTAGTTAATAGATACATGTTATAGATATAAAAACACCCTGGAACTAGAAAAACACTATGTTTATGACACAATATTTTTCCAGTAGTGGGGATCGAACCCACAATCTCTGGCGCAAGAGACTATCTACTACGCCAATTGGGTCAATAATATTTAAATATTTTAGGGCACGTATTACTCGACGTTATCTAGTATCTACCTTAGCACATATTGTACTACGAATACTAGGTATATATAAACATCGAAACATCAGAAAAACATGATATTCATCGCATGGGGATCGAACCCACAGTCTCTGCAGAGATGGGTTCATACACTGCGCCAATCGGATAGTCAAATAATGTATTAAATGAAACTATTTTCAAGATTATATGCGGTAAATATTAGTAAAGTAACAATCCATACACGTCCCATTGCTGTGCAAAGGCCTCCACTGTACAGAGAGTATTAAAACATAGTCAACCATGTGACCCCACTGCGGATTGGCCGACTTCACATCATTTCACATAATGTACAAAAACTTTCGACGCTGCGGACTCTAACGCTTTGTTTTCCAGACGCGTTAACGACTAAGATAAGCGGCCGATGACATTACGGCATGAAATTCATCATATCTACATTCTTTCTACTGCCTTTTTAACAATGCTTTGGCGTCAAATTTTAAGAGAAAAGGCGACATCTCTCTTTACAAAAGTTCTTTGTAAGGTGTGATGGATGCATACTAGATGACATGACGATGCTAAAGGTAAGTTTGTAAAAGACGTTAATAAAAATGGTAATTTAATTAAATGAGTACTCACACAATACACAATTTGAGGTATCTTAAACTTCTTTTAATCAGAGGCAGTCTGCCACATTGGTCAAGACAAATCGCTGAATTTCAATAATTTCATGAGAAAACTAGAATGTTAATAACGACCCTAATATACGTATCGTACTGCAGAAAAATTCTTCTTATACGAATTAGTGGTATGTATATTATTGAAGACTAAAAAAGTAATGTAATTTATGTTACAATTAGATATTATCTGTTACATAAATCTAAAATTACATATTATCTAATAAACCTAATCCACACACACGGTGCCAAGAACGCTTGCTACATTTGCTCGCTGGATAGTTGCTTAACCTTTGAGCGACAAAAGAACCAGGTCTCCTGTTACCAGCCGCGGCGTTAAGCGTAGGACATAAACCTTAATGATTTGAATTTCCTTTACTACAGACTTGATAAATCGTCATTACAATGGCCCTACCTAACACTGAGGGCCGAAAATCTTCAAACTTAAGCTCTGCGTTCGATGATTTTAATAGTCTACGCGCTGTGAGGCTCAAAACATCAGTCAATGCAGAAAAATGTCTGCAAGACTGAGAACAGACTCATTTTGAGAAGGCATATATACAGGGAGACTTTTTTAAAGGTGCCCAAATTTACACAGGAGGTTCAGACTCTGTAGTATAATCGTTTATTGAAATAAAAACAAACTTTTTTTTCTCAAAAAAAAAATTACCACTGTATTACCTAAAAAACAGAACTTGTTGACAACGCGGTAGTCAATCATAAATACCTAAATTTTACTGTTCACGCACACAAACGAACTTGTGTGCGTGTTAGTTATGAATGGTCGCGCGTAAAATAAATGAATTGCGTATAAATCACGCACTTTTTAAGATAAGTTCAAATGAATGTGATTATATACGAGTTATTTAAAATATGATGAGATGTTAATTAAATAAAAATGGAAATTATTTCTGGTAATAATAGCATTTTTTTATGTGAGAAGCCGTCGGATAACCTGATGTTAAGTGATAACCACCGCCCATGCACATTTGCAACACCCAAATGCGTCGCCATTTAATAAAGTGGGCCCCGGTTACCTCACTCATAAGACGAAACACACGGTGATGACTCCGTAGCGCAGTTGTCAAGGTGTTGACGTCGGCGGCGGGGGTCGTGGGTTCGATTCCCAAAGGGGCACAATTATTTGTGTGACCCATAGATATTTGTTTCAGATCTGGATATGAGTTCACGTGAAATTTATGTTCGTAATACGCTCTTACAACACAGGATAATGTTATTACAGTGAGGGCAATGTCTTAAAAAAAAAAGAATACTGAAAAAAAAAAAACACTTCCACTTCACGCCGGTCTAACCTCGGAAAAACCTGCCCATTCGTGCAACAGCCGACGTATTATTGTATGACGATATTACTGCTTTCAACATCAAAGATTGACACCAATCCAACCGATAGCCCATGTTGTAGTATATTGGAAAGATGTGACGGGTTGTAAACTCGTCACCGTGACAGTGATTAATTGTTGAAATTTGTAGAAAATTAAAATTTGTAGAAAAGTACGAAGATTGTCGCCGCTGTGGGAATCGAGCCCACGTCTTCGGCATTCGCCGCCTGACGCTTTTGTCACTAAGCTAAACGGCTGATTGCCACACCGACGAAAATCTTAACGTCTTTTATCTACATTGTTTCTTAGCGTTTGAAGCAATGTGTTTTATTGGCTGATGATTAGGCAGAATAGATACAAATATCATCATTTAAATGATGATATTTGTATCTATTCTGTGTATGTTGGGGGAATAACGAATTTCTCAAACAGGGATTTTTACCTAGGTTACCTTAATTAGAGATGATTCCATCTCTTACGGTAAGAAACAGAACTCCATACAAATGTTCGACAGTTAAAGAGACCGCCGGTTAACCGGTCGACGTTGAACCGAAATCAGCAATGCCACGGCCAGTTAAAGTCAGTGCACTGGCAGGCGCGGACCGCGGCGGCCGGTCACTGCGTTGTGTAGTCACAAGGCTCCCGGGTTCGAATACGCTGGCGGCGTGAGATATCTTTTTTTTTCACGAAGAAAACTTCTATCGAGTGATTTCACGAAGATGGTCTGTAAAGTAGCACCGAGGGACCTCACTCGTAAGTATTTTTAATTCAATAAATCTTCAATAATTAGAATTAATTACAGGAAAATGTCTAATGTTAAATTGACTTAAATATTCGATTTGCTTTAAATATTTTAAATTTTGCTTTAAATATTCAAAATTCTTTTTATATTACCAGCTAAAAAAGGTATAAAACTCCTTGAAATTTTTAAAATTTTAATACTAACATTTTATAATTAGATAATGGAGAAAAGGAAAAAAAAAGGGTATCATTTCTAAAATTCATTAATTGACCTTTAGTAAAAAACCTAGATAATATCAATAATTATCACAAATATATATAATTCAATTTTAAATACACCCAGCGTCAAAAATAATCGATGATCAGTTTTTTTTTTAAAATAGATTAAGCTTTTAATTTGTTAGTATACCATAAAAAAGTTACGGCACTGAAAGGCGCTGAAGACATAATTATACGTGATCTTCATGGTACACGATAACTAAGTCTATACAAATCCTTCTATACTTTTGAATCGTCTCTTAAATTATTTTCATTTATAATATATATATAATTATTTTTATATCTTTTCCGACTTTATCAATACTCACTCTATTTATTCAAAGTAGGATTTGATTTGATTTTTATATTCCGAAGGCATGGTTTGAAATATTTGTACGATATTGCACTTGAAAAGATTTTAAAGTTTTATTTTGACAAAATAATTAAAGAATATTCATTTAATATTATACAGTCTCGAATATACTTCATTGTTTAGTATGTAAGATCTAGATAGATTTTCTTTCTTATTTCTTGTAGTGTAAAGCAAGATTGGCGAAATATTTATATTTCTATTCAACGACCAAGACGAGACGATTTGTATAGTGCCATAATTATCGATCTTTATGTCAAGTAATGCTTATTAAAAATTAGGACAGAAGTTTGGCTGCACTATAACTGTGGACATGATATTAAGGATATAGTATTGTCTATTTTTACCAGAGTTCTAAAACCATTTCTTTTTAGTTTAAAACCAAGGCTGCTACAGCATCCTGTCGAGAAGTAGACAGCTTATAGAATATGGATGAAGGCTTATATGTTGACGAGTTGAGCTTAGCTGATGACGTTGGCCATCACGTACTCAAAAGTTACATCACGGAAACTCGTGCATTGTAAAATGAAGCGATTGCGGCACAAAGCGCTGTTATCGTGCCGCTTATAAAACTTGATAAAAGAAACCGTTGAAACAGCACAGAAGCAATTAATGTCGGATCCGTAAACGCGTTCATTTACAGCCGTGGCAAGTATAATTTCACGCGGAATAAACTAGCAACGGGCATTATTTTGATAGGCATATGCGCACGGTTATATTGAAATTGGGTAATCGAAAAATCTATCATCGTCTTTATAATATCGATCAATTAAGGCATAAACTTCCGTTTCCGTTTCCAGATAAGCAATAGGACTACATCAACTATTATTCCATTTCATCTTGTTCAGGTTTTGGGACTTGAAATCGAAAACAATTTTATATTCAATACAACATATTATAATTGCATCAGTTTAGTATTTTTAAATACCTACGAGCAAATATTACTTTGGTAACGTTGCTAATAAAATTAAAATTGTGAAAAACTCAATTCTAATCCTGTCAACTTATCTTTTTATAACTTCTCTGAAAACAAGTAGAATATAATTTAAAAAACTAAAAACCCGACAGCGTTTCTTTAATTTTTTATTTTTTATTTTCATATACTCTCACAGTAAATACGAATGTAACGACACCTTTCAAGCTAAAACCCATCAAGCCTTTCAGGCTGCAAAGCGTACCAAATAATTATACATACATACATACTCTCGAAAAACATAACCCTCCTCCCGCAGTCGGGTAAAAAGTGTAATGTTTATTCAGATATTATACAGCGTGTCGTTACTATCGCGACAATAAATAAACCTGCATATAGGGGATAACTTTTTAAAGTTGTATTAAACATTTAAATTCTTTAAACATCAATATTTACAGAGTTATAAAATTTTCCAAAACAAAGAATTTTAGAACATCCTTACCTATAAAAGCGTAACGTAAAGTTCATTTGTCAAGGTCACAAAGCGCAAAGGGTTGAATGAATTTAAAAGAGACAAAACATACTGTTAGAAGTAGAGGCTTGTAATACGACACTGTGGCGCGAGTTGTATAGGATGTTACAAATTTTGTTTCTTTTTTACTTAATTAGTTTGTTTGAAAAATATATTTTTTTAATTATGGATTTTGTTTAACGTTAATATTTTTTTATGATTATTGGCAAGTAGCGTTAGACATGTCTTCATTTATTGTCGCGATGGTAACGACACGCTGTATACTTTATAAAGCAGTGAGTTTATGATCATTAACAATTTAATATAATATTTATGAGATTTATTATTGATTAAGATAAGTTCAAATACAGACAAAATATGTCCGTACTTTACAGGTCCACATTGGACAAAATTACTTACCATATTTTTGCAAATAAAGATTATTTGATTAACTCCGTGACGTTATTTCCAATTTACTAGTTATCGCATTCAGTATACTGTTAAGACTTGTTGACGTGATGTATTTGTCCCTGTCTTTATGACATGACTAGCTGCTGCCCGCGACTACGTTTGCGTAGAATAGGTTGAAGGCGTAACATTCAGACAGATATACATAAAATATGTATATAAATTATAGCCTATGTCTTATTCTGATGTATAAGCTATGTTATTGTAAAGTTTCATTAAAATCCATTCAGTAGTATTTGTGTGAAAGAGTAACAAACATCCATCCATACATACAAACTTTCGCATTTATAATATTAGTAAGGAACTAAGGATAATGATGGCAATAATTTTACAGCCACGCACAGAAATGTCAACAATGAAAATCAGGACCAGAATTTGGGAGTTGCAGACTACGAGACGGCTTTGGACTTAGCCGGTAAGTTTTTAAATATTCTAGTCCCTGCATGATGGTTTTGTGGCGGGGATATCGACAATCGACAATAGACATAAACTGACTACTTACTTCAAAACAGAGGCGTCACACTAAGCACCCATCGTGTTTACAATTTATCTGAGAATGATCAGCCTATTAATCAGCCTCAGACTTTTTGTCTTCAATTGCTTAGATACAAAAACATGTCAAATTGAAATTGTCAGATTATTTATTTGATTCTTCGGCGGAATAAGTATCGCGTGCGTTTATAAAAAAAATACAATGATGTTTCAGCATAAGATATAATATGTGCATTGTAACCTTACTTTTAATTTGCGTAGCCAATAGACGAAATAGAAGACCTACATAAAGAAGAGGCATTAATACTTTTGGTCTTTGTCTGGTGAGTGAGGTAGCCGCAGTCAGTTCGCGTTTCTCGTGTATGGTTACGGTTAACATTCTGCATTATTATAAAAATATCACGCGTGCAGGCTGTTATGAGCTGTGAGTCGGAATCCGTGATCGGCATTTTCTTTCGCCGTGTTTTATAAATTGAACATTCTTGTGTCGCAAATGAACGTGCGTGTATATGTAAACAAATTTAATAACGCATCTGGAGGTGTGTTCGGTGAGTGATGCGCTGACGCGTGTGACGTAGCCGCTCAATGATGAAGCTTTATATGTATCTAAGACGCTTGTTTGTCTGTCTGTTCGCTCGGTGTCAATGTTGGTATCGATTTTAGCGATAATATATTTGAAACATCAAACATACTATTTCAGAAGAGGTGACAAAAATATGTTTTTATTTTAATCGCATGTTAAATTTATTCCTCAGCAGTGCTTTGTGTATGTGAGCGAAATTGCCACTTATTAAACGTACGATAATTTCCATTGTAACGATCAAAGCCAGAACCGCAAACTGCTCTAAGCATGGATCAATTGCAAACGCCAATGAGGACCACACCTCCCGGAAGTGAACCCTATTAACGGACTGTTTACCTTTCCACGCGTCTGCCGAGACGTTACATAAGAGCGATCGGAGTCCACGGCGGAATGGACACTTCACTTAAAACAATATCATTAGAGTATAACAATATCGTTAGTTAAAACATATAATCTTAAATTGCAAATCTAAACCATACAGATTATGTTAGTAACAAAATTTATTTTAGAGAGACCTTTAAACGCAGCCCGCGTTACCCATCTATTTACTCGAGTTCAGCGAGTGAAATTTTTAATATTTTCGACAGTAAATGTTTTCGCCAATTATGTATTTTCAAATTTCTTTTACAAGAAAAGCAACTAGTTATTTGTGGCTTTTTACCCTAAAGAACACAGACAATATCAATAGCGGATACTAATTGTCATTAAACTAAAGTGCTTTTGGTTTTTTGAATTTATTATGTGGAATATTTACAAGCATCCACTAGTGTATTGTGTATGCCAATCGACTGGACCCCAATCTAAAGAGATTAAAACTCAAATTAAATACGGCAACAGTTTCTTCTTTAATTGAAGTAATCCTTGTATTAATTAATTCAATCCTTGTATTATCAATTAATTCCGTATCTATATAATTGAGCTCAATAAATGTTTTATTAATAACGCCATTTAAAAAAAAAGTAATTATAGGAAAAGGTGTTAAACATACTATTGAAAAATGCATACAACTATCTATATAATGATAATTCTAGAGCGAATAAAGAAATGATGACATTGAACTTGGCTGACAGTTAACCTTAAGTTGGATATTTCACTGAATTCCAACTTCTATTTGTGCACTTGCGCCCAGTTTTAATGCAAAACAAGCATCCAGCGACCAAGTAAGGGCGAACATCAGAGAATAATAGCCCTTATTGTTTGTTTGCGGACTTTATATTGCTTGTTTGCTTTCGCGTTGGATCTTGTTTCTTTTAACTAGTGTTGATACCTGTGTCGATAAGGTTCATAGTTCCATGATCGTGCTACTTATGAAGACCGGGATGTGGACAATTCGAGCGGTAAACTGGGAATAGTCGGCCTACTGAGAATGTTTACTTCATTGCATGTCTTCGTAGTTATGCCTAAGGTAACGATTTTTGCAAATACCTCTTCTGTTTCAAAATCAGAGCAAGGTTTATGATAAGCGGTTGATCGGTTGTTTAAACAAGGCTTTGTTGTAGTGTTACATGTAGGGTTTTGCAAATTTTAAGCTCGTACGAATGATGGGAATATTTATGATGGTTTGTTTTTAATTTTTCAAGAGTTAGCAAGCAAGCGAGAGACTTGACTATAGTAGGATAAGGCGGTAGCGTCTGTTGTTTCACGACTGGCTCAGTCCGGATTGGTTCCACGGCCGCACAAAAGGCTTGTGTGAAGTGGGAGTATTATACTTTCGCATTTCGTCTGTACAGTGGCATTTGAAGTAGATAAGCAGTCAGTATAAAATGAAGCTATCGTGACAGGCGAATGCGTCGGAAGCGTGAGTAATGTCTAGCATCCACCGACCTAATTAGACCATCAGTGTGAACTTCCAGGACTCATCGCTTCCAGGACATAGACGCATTTACGATTTTATTGGACCAAATGTAAGCCGTAGTTAAATAAGGTCTCCACTGAATTTGATACACGCTCAAAATTAAATGATTGGATCTGGAAATAGGTTTCGAAATTACGTAAATTACATTCAGCGTAGTTGTCAAGCGAGCAGGCGGTTCACCTGATGCCAAGTGTCCGTCTCCTAAGGAAATTTAAAACATGCAACGGCACGCAGATGCGTTGAAAACCTTTAAAAAAGTAGGCCCCGGTTACCCCACTTACCAGACAAAAGACGAAAGTCTAATACTTCCACTTCACGCCGGTCTTCTGTGAACCCGTGGTACTTCTCTGTATAACTTGCCCATTCGTGTCATAGCAGAAGCTATTACGTGGCTCTACCATTGTCTCCATCATTACAATTATCGTCGTGATGGTAGGGCCACAGTTGAAGAATTGGATGCGTTGACATATTCTGTTACAGGGGCATTCCGTAATCTAAATTTATATGTGTTAAAGTCAAGTACAGTGTAGTGGCTCTAATGGTTAGTTGGTTCTAATGTTTAGTTCCTTATGTTCCAATTCTCGGATTCTAGTATGGTTCTTTAGTATTTAGTATATTGCAGCGATTCTAATGTTTAATCATAGGTGGATGAGGCGGAGATCTTGATTAAGTTGTCAGAGAAGTTGAAACGAATGCATTCCGACACACTTTCTCGTTGCATTAGTGTGGCTAATTTCGCCTTCTGCGCTGGGCCGTTCACTGTAATTGTTTCAATAATATCGGTCAAATTGACACATGTGGCTTCAACGCAAACAATCGTCGGATATAAGACCCACTTTTCGAGTTAGAGCGATGAGTAATTTCGAACTGCAAACCGCCTGCTCTACTTAGGCCATTTAATTGCTGATCTGCTCTAGAACAGCAGAAGCATCTGACGGTCGTAAATATTTCAAGAATTAAATTTATAACATTTATAATTCCTGACGAGCCTACAGCGTACAAAATCCCCATTATTTATATATCACATTTCTTGCCAAACATTATACATATCATGGTCAGTGGCTAGACTCATCAATCGAAGTCCTCAGAAGCTTCTACATAAGACGGTGGATTGTTATGTCATTATTATTCATTTTCATTTATTTTACGATCCGTCACAGCTTATGAATACAGAGAATTCTTTTGATATAGTAGGGCTGCGCAGTAGTTATACTTCCGCCTTTTGTCTGTTGAGTGAGATCCGGGGTCTATTTTATTAAAAGTTTTCAATTCATCTGCAACCCTGCGTGTGTTGCAGACATGGGTGGCGATTTAACTTAGCAACAGGCTCCCCAGCTCGATTGCCACCGTCAAAAACAAAAAAAAGTTGACACGTGGTGAACCTGTTGCAGTCATCTATGAACTGTTGGATACTATAATCTTACGCTTACGACGTACTACCACTAATACTAGTAAATAGCTAGCTAGCTAGTCACTAGTAAATAGCGAATTTACATTGAGCTTTGTCGATTAGGTACCACTATGACGCGTGGACTATTAATGTTTGCGTCAACAGATGATTCTGGCGTCAGAACGGAGTCAATGAAATTACTCGATACATCAGAATGATGTCAAGCAGAAGGAACATTTTTTATGTTAAAAGATGGCTAACGAGCAGCCCGTTCACGTGATGGTAAGCTATATGATTACGGCCGCCCATGGACATCTAAATCTATTACCATAGCCGACCATTAAAAAAGTGGGCTCCGATTGCCTCACTAAGTAGACGAAACGCGAATTGTTCCCACAGGAACCATGCAGTTTTGCGCGGATATCGGACGCAAATGTTTCACGGGACCTGTATTCGAACCTATTGCTCGACTTTTACTCCTAAAAATTTTAGTGTTTCGTCGTAAGTTAGAGCTATGGAAATTTAAGTTTCATACAGCAAGGGTGACATCCCTCGTTCGAATTATCGTCGTAAAACGATATTTAAGAAAATTAAGATTTTTTTGTATTCTTTAACGGCTATTACGGTAAATGCGAAAGCATTGCTTGAAATGCGAAAAAGTGGGAATCAGCCGTTTAGCGACGGTTAGCGGTTAAAGCGTATAGGTTTGCATCCGGAAGACGTGGGTTCGAATCCCATTAAAAATAAATCACGCTTGCATTTTTTTCATATGTAATGTAATGTCAAGTGATAACCGCCATCCATTGAGATTTGCAACACCTGTAGGGTTGCAGATGCGTTGCCACCTTTTAATAAATTGGGCCCGATTACCTCAGTCACCAGACGTCGTGGTACTTACCCGGATGGACCTGCCCTTACGTGCAATTGAGAAGACTGTTGCGTGGTCCTACCACAGTAAATTGACGTTGTATTATTTAGGTTTGTGTAGACACTATTTTGCATAACATTCACGTTTATTTCTCAATGATGTGTTACATGTCCTTATGCTGGTCACCTACCGCAACAAACGAAGCCAGTATTAGTAATCTCGACCAAGGCACGTACTACCCACAGACATCTTGTCTTTACATTCGTGTAAGGTGTTTTAGCTGTTTCAGCATAACTTCTAACATAGTTTTGCGTTCCAACTACGTGATATTTCCTAATAGTCATAACGTTTCGCAGCGAATTGACTGGGCGTGTGTTACATAATTTGAGCATTCGTAATAACGTTCAGAGAGTTTGTTTAAAAAACATTTTCGATAATTAAGTTATTTCGATTTAATTGAGCTTTTTGTTCCACTGACCAAAAGAGTAATCTAGAGAACAGTTCATCTCTGACTTTTTTATTGATAACAATATATTCGGAGTAATTGTGGGACAGAAATCTAGGTGCATGGTAAGTTTAGGTAGTGCGGTTCGTAGGTTCGATTCCGCCACGATTCTTCATACGTATATAGGCGTTTTGCGCAGTGGGACGTATATAGGCTGTTGCCTATATACGTCCCACTGCTGGGCAAAGGACCCTCTGCACAGGGGCTTTAGGGCGCAGTCCACCGAGCGACCTCTCTGCGGATTGACTTTATTTTTATTACTTTTATTTTCGAACTAATTTTTTAAAGCGGTAGTTCGAAAGGAGAAAATTATAGGTACGCGTTACCGACAAGCTAATGTCACGTGTTCTGTCATTGACGTTGGTGGTGTTAATTTTTTTTCATTTGGTTTTCTAATATTTGATCACGTTAAAACAAATCTCTAAGTGTTCGACTGTATTTTTTCTTGCGCATTTTAATATTCAAATTAAAATAAAAGAAAAAAAGTAAAGTAACAGCCAATACATGTCCCACTGCTGGGCAAAGGCCTCCTCTATACAGAGGGTATCAGGGCATAGTCCACCACGCGGCCCCAATGCGGATTGGCGGACTTCACATATTTTCGAAATATATATTTTTTGTTATTATTTCGAAAATATGCAGGTTTCCTCACGATGTTTTCCTTCACCGCGGAGCACGTGATAAGTAAATTTAAATATAAAAATTTAATTAGTCTCAATTATTGTTTATTCGGGAATAAAATACGTACCTATTTAGAAATTGGTGTTTTGTGATTTTAATAATTCGTACAGTAATTAATAAAAATTATTTCAATTTTAAGTTTTCTTTGATGTCGCTAGCCATCATATATCATTACTGATTTATTTATTTTTGTTATTATTTAGAGACTGTGAATATTTCCTCGCAGTGTTTTCCAATAATTCCAGTTAACGATTTCATTGGTGGCCGCACTGGGATTTGAATGCTGGTTGCTGGAGCATTTTGAATTTATACCGAGCGCACGTGGCGCGTTCCGATAAGCCTATATAATTTTTAACAAAAAAAATCGACTTCAAACCGAAAACTGTTAATACCATATGCCATCATGAAAATCCGGACCAAATCAACTGTTTCCTTATCATGGTACCCTTGGGATATCTCCTTTCCAATGAAAAAGAATCATCAAAATCGGTCCATAAAAGACGAAGTTATCCACGAACACACATAAAAATTTACATATACGGTCGAATTGAGAAACCTTCTTCTTTTTTGAAGTCGGTTAAAAAACATGACATTCACGCTCGTCTTCTGCGAGGCCGTGATACCTATTTCCCCAGACGAAAGAGATTTAATTAAAATGAGCGGGTGGGAGTTTATACAATGTTGTAATAATTGCACTGTCTTAAGGCAACGCCGGACGCGCTGACAAGGAATTCGCTAAACGTTTAGATCCACGCCGAATACAATGCCTCGATAACGTAAACATGATCTCTACTCTCTGTTATTGTTATATACACAGTCATCCACACGTAGAACGCACTCGCAACGATTTGCACCGATGGCTTACTGAAGACAGACTATCGAAACTTTGTTATTTAATTAGACTGAAGTGTTAACATAATAACCACGGTCTATTTAAAGTTGTTGCTAAGATACCAAAAAGAGAAATGATTTTAAATTTAGTCATATCGCTTACTAATATCTCTGAGTGTGGCACTTACAAAGTTAATTGGTATCAAACATGTCTAGTCACAGTTCTGCTGGAGGAGATTTCTTACCATTACAAACAGTTACTATAACTAAACTTTCATTATAATATCATGTTAAAGTCAAAAAGGGTTAGTAAGGAAGCCAGTTAGCATTATTCACGCATATTTGCATATGTTCAATTTTGCATAATTGCGAAAGTATCTTTGCCTTATATGGAATCCTAAAATCGGATTACAAATTGGTACACGCCAGCAGACTACGAAGCGGTGACCTTTAATGCGATTTGAGAATGCCAGCTCCTGAGACATCAGACTGTACTAATTCTACCATAGCCTTCAAATTAATCCCTAGTTTAGCATTTCTTATATTTTTAAACACATTTATTTAGCTAATATCAGCATATAATAAGTTCTTTTTTATATACCCCATTAGAGATTTTAGGTTTCGACTTTTCGTAGTTCATGATATTTTAAATAAAATGTTAAAATCAAAGTTGATGTTTACTAAGGGTTAATTGTTGACTCCGTGGCACAGTTGCCAAGGTATTGGCTTCGGCGCCGGGACTAGTGAATTCGATTCCCACATAAAACAACTATCTGACTGACCGACAGATATGTTTCGGATCTGGTTGTTCGTCCACGTGTAATTTTGTTTTATCTAAAACGTCCATACAAAACAGGATAATGTGAGATAATTGATCCTACAGTAAGGAGCAATGTTCTCGAAGGGAAGACTACAGTGGATCTTCTAGGTCGCATTGGTCGTTCGGACATACTACCCAAATCCTTTTACACAAAACACTAAGGGTTAAATAAACCGGTGTCATCGTGTGGTATTTACAACAACGTTCTTCCGTAGGTGAAAAGAGCCGTGATAGCTCAGTGTCCGGGCGCTCGCCTTTAATAAAATATACTCGAGCAACCTGAGTTCGATCCCCGGTGCCAGCACCAATGAAGTTTTTAACTTTAAGTGCTGACTTATCATGTGCTCTGCGGTGAAGGAAAACATCGTGAGGAAACCTGCATATTTTCGAAATAATAACAAAAAAATATATATTTCGAAAATATGTGAAGTCCGCCAATCCACAGTGGGGCCGCGTGGTGGACTATGGCCTGATACCCTCTGTATAGAGGAGGCCTTAGCCCAGCAGTAGGACAAGTATAGGCTGTTACTTTACTTTACTTTACTCTTCCGTAGGTTACGGGCGGTTCAGCAGAAGTGTCCTGGGCGCATGCGCCTGCGCATTCTTCACCACTGGGGTCCAGAACTGCGTGATGTCGTACGTGCTGCCAGCTGCGAGGTGTGAACTGCAGCTGACTACGTACCAAGCGGGCCTGGTCAACATGGCCTTCATGAGCGGTGAGGGACATCTGCTTATTAACCAACTTCAAAAAGAAGGATGTTGTCAATTCAGGTGTTTATATATTTTCTTTTATCTATGTTCGGGCATAACTTCGTCATATGTAGACGGATTTGCACAATTCTTTTTTTTTGTTTGAAAGGATTTAGTTCCGAAATGGTCCCATATAAATTTCGTATAGATCTGGTGATGATTTTCGGAGATAGCAATGGAACTCTTCGAATGACAAGATATCAACCGTTATTGCTGCTATCACATAAATATGCATTGTTTTGCATGTAACGTTGTAATAGTTACGTACATCATTTTATTTGACGTCGGTTCTTTTTTTGTTATAAAACTTTTTATTATTATTTAATTTCTACTACACTACACGTTATTTTTTTTAGTTTATTAGGTCTGCTTAGCTGAATACAATCTAGCATGATTACAAAAGAAATGTACAAAAAAATAGTGATTGTGTTCTGTACATCTATACAGCATACGTAGTGAAACATAATACAACATTAGATATAAAGGTTTACTGATTAAATGGGTAAAAATTTTAAATTCAAACTTTGTTTGTATGTAAAACCAAATAAAACATGATAGATAAATAAATAAATTAGTGAGTAAACTGTTAATACTATGATGATGTTAAAGAACCGAAAAAAAAATATGGACACTTCCTTTTTTGTATAGGCGAAAGAACTTTTTCTTATTAAAGGAAACCATTTTTATTTATTTATTTATACTATATTGCAATTACTTTATTAAACAAGGATCACAAAGTTACCCATTCAACCCGAGCCAGGGAGATAAATTGTGGTAGGTGCAATAATAACGTTCAATTATTGATCTTACTATTATTTGAAAACTAAATCTGACGAAGATTTACAATGAAAGTTTGAAACGAATGCAGTAGATTCGTAGATTAGTTTAATTTGTTAATGAGCTGATTATTTCTTTCTTTATAAGCACCAGGAGCTCGCTTGTCAACTTTCACATAAAAAAATAATAGAATCTAAGCTTGGCGATCCGCCCGTTATATTTATTTTTATAACAATAGTTTTGTAGATTGAATATGATCATAGACCGAAGTGTAAATGGGGCGTGAACAGGATATGAGTAATTAACTATCATTGCTCCATAATTTCATTGTCTTAACGTATCTCACATAGTATGAATTAATTTATTATTGAACATCAATTATCCGTTAACGAATGAATAGTCGACATATTAAACAGACGGACAATTATAACTGTATCAATGGTTACATATAAAAAGATGATACATCTATTGAATCGTATTACGATCCTCGTGAATTACTGATATTTTAAACCGACTTCAAAAAGGCGGGGGTTCTCAATTCGACTGTATTTTTGGTACCTCAGAACTTTCAACTGGTCCTTAGGCCAACCTAACCTGACCTGACAGTCGCATTTGCGACGTCTTCCACTAGCGAAGTCAATAGTGCCTGAACGCGCAATATTAGTAATGTATATAATGTCTTGCTTCTCCTGACCATATATCTGGAGAGGTTGGTATGGTTGACCATATATATCAGAGTTCCCCAAACTTTTTTGTGTCGTAGACCCCTTGCCATGTTTTTCCGTGTTGGGTAGATCCCCTACTTATTTGATATTGATTTCCTGTAAATTTCTATCTGTAGTGAAGTTTAGTGTTAAAAACTTAAAGTAAAAACACACGTTAATTTATACATTTATTAATTGAATTTAAATTAAAACTACTCAAAATAAAATTTTGTATCTGTTATGTAAAATATACGTAACATTAAATAAACTATAAATAAAATAACATAAGCAATAAGTCAATATTTTTGGTGAGAAGGATGAACCTGATGCTTTAATAATAAATTATCAATATTTGGCGTCAATTTTGTAAGGGTTAATCTTAAATCTCCTCGGCTAATGATGTCCAGTCTGTTTCTTTTTTTCGTTAGAAGATTGGTAACAGCGCTGAACCCCCTTTCCACTAGGTATGACGATGGAAAGGAAATTAAAAATTTCGCTATATTACAAGTTCAAAATGTATTGCGACCACAAAGCGAATACCAACATCCTATAACTTACACAATTTTATAAACATATATAATAATTTTTTTACTTCATAGGTACTTTTATAAACAATATATATGTTTTGATATTATAAGATAGTATGATGTAAGTAAATAGGTACTATCAGTGTATGTATTGAGATCCACTATCGTGGACCCCCATTTACATTTCATTGACCCCCAAATTTTTTTTCGCTGACGTAGACCCCTTGCAGGTTGTCATAGACCCCTAGGGGTCGATATAGACCACTTTGGGAATCACTGATATATATGATCAACAATATTGCTAATAATAATGGCTAAGTTTTTTACGATCGAACGCCTGGATGGCGCCTAATCTCCTTGGGAATAAACATCCAATTCTGGAGCAATTATCCGTGGGTCATACAAAAACTTGCCCCGTGAATCAAACCCAGGAACCCAGATACCGAAGCCAATAGTTTAGCAACCCGCCACCAAGTCATTGGCAATATATACAATATGACGTTTGATTGTTTTATAATAGTAACAATATTTGCTGTATCGAACGAAACGTATTAATATGTATATTTCCAGGATAATGGTACGTACAAACTAGAACATAAATATACATAATTATTAGAAGAATCTTAGTCTTATATGTACCCACCAATAAACCAATTATGCGAATATATAATAATTAAGCGCAATTCCCAATGGATTGCGAAATATCAGTGTTTTTGGAATTGTTACGATTGTTAGCGCGTCATTAGTTCTGGTGCTAATAGTGTGATGTCAAACTTCACAACTCCTTACTAGGAATCATATAGATGTCTGTTTATAAGAACCATAAAAACACATATAATCGGGGAATCGTAGATTCAAAGAACTACGGCGCTAACGCTTTCGGTGACGAGCGAGATTCCGCTTTGGATAAGTGACAGTAAACGTCAATGGTTTCATATTTTGGGCGTTGTGTTATTAAGAACACTAAAATTAAATTTTAATAATAATAAATATTTCGGGACATATGTTTACATAACGTTATCTAAGCAAACCCAAACTAACCAAAGCTTGTACTATGGGTACTAGGTAATTGATAAACATACTTAAACTTACTTTTCTATTGTAAATAAATAAATATTATAGATATATTAAAGACACTAGAAAAACACACTTCCAGTAATGGGGATCGAACCCCCATCCTTTGGTGCAAGAGACATGTTCGTAAGGTTGCAGGAGACATCCACTACGCCAATTGTTTTTTGTATATAAAAAAATATGTAAAGACACTAATACTGACTCTAACACGTTGCCTCCCTATAGAAAGAACGAAGGTGAATATTATGCTCGGATAAAAAAACAATCGCCAACAGCTATCTTCATTAATTCATTATTTCCCATCCATATATATCGAACATATATCGGACTTGTGGCAGCAATGATCTTAATTTGTAACTTAGCGTGTGGATGGAATGGCTAATTTGGATATTGTACAGAATACTATTAAATCCCTGGCTTCATCTGCCTTTTTTATTCGTTGCAAAACATACACTATGTTTGGCTTATTACAGCGAATGTCTTCATTTGTTGATAGTTTTTTAGTATGCCCTTCTTCTCACTCAAGAAATGAGCAGATTAGCTACTACAATACAAATCTCATACAAATTCTTTCCTTATAGAAGAACGTATTAATATTTTAAATAATGACACATGCGTTATATTAATACTATGTAATATTTACTTAAACCCTGGTTCTTTATGGCCCCTTTAGCACGAGGTCCCTTACATTGAATATTTTTTGGTGTAGATAACATATTCCTCTAAAAATAGTGTTCGAATAAAGTGGTTAGCCTAAGTAGTGCAGAAAAATTTGGAACAAAATGGTGTCGTCTATCAGTTCCATTACCATTGAATCTCATCTAGATGGGAGTCAAAGTTAAAGTCAAAGTATATTTATTCAATATAGGCCTAACTTAAGCTCTTATTGAACGTCAACAAATAATCTACCACCACTAAACTAGACCTGCACAGAGAAGAACCGGCAAGAAACTCTGCGATCTTATTCTTTTTGTTATTTTTTTTATGCAATTATACACACTTATTTAGGTATAAAATCAGCAGCAGCCAGGGGTCTTGCAAGTGCAGAGCAAGAGTCATTTCCAAACATCCTTGTCCTCAATGTATTCTTGGACGTTATAGTAGGCCCTTGCCATTAAGGTAGCTTATACAAATTGTTTGATTTTGAATTGGAGTGAATAGTCATTTACTGAACTTGGTAATCTCCAAGACCGCATTGGTCTGTTTTCGGTGCTTAATAGATGAGTTGCAATAACTATTACATATTATATGTGATATATTTTTACACGAAGAATAATGTTATTTTATGTCGTGGATTATTATTATATTAGATATGATGTTTTAGTTATCGAACTAAATATAACGGATATGGTAATTGAACTATTTTGAGAGGTGTTTCACTATTACATTAGAAACGATAATGTTACGGTATCGTTCTAACTATTTCACACAAATAAGGGCTTCCTGTGTTTGCATTGGCATCAGTTATTTTGACGAGTGTTTGGAGTTCCTGAGTCTTTGTTTGTTGGTGCAAATTTAATTTACCTTTCCCATAAAGTTAGTTAAAAAATAGAAGTCGAACCACTTTGCCCTTATGGAGATTAACTATAAATTTCGTGTTGACACTCTTTTAACACTATATTTTTCAGTCAATCTCAAGTCATTATAACTTATACAAGTTATTATAACTTACTTATGACAGGATTGCACTCTGTTTTAAACAAGATATCTAATTTATCGCGACTTTTTATAAATTCGTAGGTATATGATTATTATGATAGCGATATTACTTTACTTAACTTTGACAAAGATTTGCTTAGTGGTACCTATCGTAATAACCGTATTACCTTCGCTCCTTCAAGGTAAAACTAATGAAGTTAACTTGAGGACTTCTTGTCACTCAGAAATAGTTACGAAGTATCCGAAGGTTTAATCAATAAAAAAAAAGTTTCTTCTAGCTGGTACTCTACAAGGTCCTGATTTCACTCAAAACTACGAATAATTAACGGATTCTATCAGAATGGTTTAGAAGACGATGTCTTTAGATAATTAAGCAAAGATTATTTAACTGAAGCATGAGTCGGAAGCACAATTTTTTCCTTAAAAGATGGGTGCTTTTCAAACTTATTTACCCGGTATTATATTAAAACTTTAATTTAATTCTCAATATGGCTAAATGGTTCAATAGGCTAATAATATTAGTTAGGCTGTTTATTATCTGCACAGACAAAACTTGATAATAGGGGCCCTGCATCTGGCGCCCCAGATTTATTTTTATTATAAAGTATTTCTCTATAGCTGCGGTAAAAAATGCACCGATGAAATTGTTAATTTTAAGTGCTGATTTATCACGTGCTCGGCGGTGAAGGAAAAAATCGTGACGAAACCTAAAGCAATGCGCAGTGGGGCTGCCTGGTGGACTATGCCCTAATACCCTGTGCATTGCATAGAGGAGGCCTTTGCCATGCAGTGGGACATGTATTGGCTGATACATTACTCTTGCTTCTCTTTCTATTCTTCCCAGGTGGCGTGGCGAGCGCTTTCTTCTGGGGCATCGTGGCGGACGTGTTTGGACGCCGCAATGTTCTCAGCCTGACTCTCCTCATAGACTCAGCGATTCTCCTAGCCCAGAGTACGGTTTCCGACTACAGGATTTTGCTCGCCGCGAGGACTATTAATGGATTTCTGATTGGTAAGAGAAAGAGAAACTCGTAGTTGTTAATTGAAACTAGTTTAGTTGGGTTCGAAATCTCGTGAATTAAATATCAAAATTAAAACGCGATAAAATCCCTAAGCTTCTTTCATTTAATATATTTCATTTTCACATAAAAAACAATAAATCAATATGTGGCTAGTTGACTCTGACTTAGACGATCTGATTCAATGACATCACGATTTATTAGTAAGGGGAACATTAGCGAAGCACTAGCTGTTTGATAAATAAATAAACTAATAGAAGTTGGTTCAAAAGAATAGTAGTCGAAAATCTAGGACCGTTAATAGGAGTCTGTCAATTGCGCAGGATCTTTACGAAGTATATAATAAATTAATTAAACCTGAGTAAATCCAACTATTTAATTCAAATTAGCCAGAAATTAACTAAGGAATAATTTGTAACATTCACGCTCAATACTTATGCGAAGAAAACGTAGTAGCTAAGAGTCTAGAGAATAACATAAATTCTGTTAAGGTAGTTAGTTCAGATTTAATAATGTGAACTGTTCAAGTAATTAAAGAATCAGAAAAATATCAATATATAAACTCACACTGTGAAAGTTTTGGTGCAAGAATACATCACACAAACAGTTGTCCCGTGTGCGGATCGAACTCACGACGCCGAAGCCAATACCTTGGCAACTGCACCACGGAGTCATAAAACTTCTCCGAATTGGCAGTTGAGTGTAAATCTGAATGTCTCGTCTGTAAATTCTGTGTTGTACAACGTTTTAGATGTTAATGTTTTATTACTTAATTTAACTACAGGTGGACCCTCGACGATCGTGTTCACCTATTTATCAGACCTTGTTGGCGTGAAGAGACGTCAGCTGTACCTTAATATCACTGGGATGAGCTTCGTGGCGGCGTGGCTTATTCTACCAGGTAAAAATTCAATACTCTATTAAATTCTAACCCTCAATACTAGCGCCTGATGATAGAAAGCTCCAAAGGTATTTTTAAAACCATCACTGCAAAAAAGTATTTGTTAGTTATAGATATTTTTTTAAATCGAATGTATAATAATTTATTAATGTAAGTTTATAGTAAAGTAACAGCCTATACATGTCCCACTGCTGGGCAAAGGCCTCCTCTATATAGAGGGTATCAGGGCATAGTCCACCACGCGGCCCCACTGCGGATTGGCGGACTTCACATATCTTCGAAATATTTTTTTTTTGTTATTATTTCGAAAATATGCAGGTTTCCTCACGATGTTTTCCTTCACCGCGGAGCACGTGATAAGACAGCACTTAAGTTAAAAAACTTCATTGGTGCCGGCACCGGGGATCGAACTCAGGTTGCTCGAGTATATTGAATTAAAGGCGAGCGCCCGGACACTGAGCTATCACGGCTATATAATTTATAGTATATATATAGCGGCAAGTTTATAGTATATAATAATATTTTCATTAAAACTTGAAGAAATACCACAACAAACTATCAATTGATTGTATGAGAAATTTGCCTAAAAATAATATGTAAAATTTATAATATATTCTGTATATGAAGATTCCTAGCTAATAATAATAAAAATATAGCTTTTGAGTCACTCAGAAAAATTAGAGTTAATCTGAAGGTTGATTTATTTAATAAACGAATTTCATAACTATCATATAAAATTATTAGGAATAGAACAGAGTACTATGCGATAGTTATGCTATGTTTAAATATAGTTTTTATCATCATTTATAACATACTTAAAGTATATATACTTACTTATAATGCACACCTAATACTCAAATTCCAGACCTAATTAATTAAAGTTAATGACTCAACGCAGCAAGCTCTCTGAGCGTCGTGGGTATAGTATCAAAAATTATCAGAAAGTTTATGTGATTCATTTCAGATTATTTACAAACTCAACGGAGTAAAATAAATTCACCTCATCATTATCATCATCACTTCTGTTGAAGTCCACTGCTGAATAGGTGTACCCCACAGACCGCCACAAAATTCACCTATCAAATCCTAATAATTTCATATTTATCTTACTTTCTATTTTTAAATATTCATATAAAGCGATTGATTGGAAGTTAGCATGCTAGGCACTCTCCATCTGTTGCCTTGTTATGTTTTTATTTGCTTTCTAACGAACATGTTGTGGTCAAAAGACGGACAATTCTCGCAACCTGCCAAACTTCCCTTTCACCGATCAATAGCATTTCAATTGAACAAATATGATTGACGGTTCTTCGGAAGAAAGCGGTGGAGCCTGAGCTAACTGTCGGCGGTTGAGAGTAGATTTCACAGGTGCAGATTTCAAGATGGCCGTAAGCCTTAGGCTATAGGCTATGTCTATTACTGTCGTTAGCTCTCATTTTTGCCTTTGCTTGTACAGACATGTTATCGAGGACACATCGTTATCCATTTCAGTTTTCGTTTTCTCTTCATCCGTCTCATTCGTTCCCAACATATAAGGAGTAGTTTACAATATTTTTCTTATTCCTTTGCTGCTGTGGATGATGTATCCACATTTGGAATCATGTTAAATGTATGGATATCGGTTAGATAGTTAGAATTAAAATTACAGTATTTGTGACGTGGTATTTAATAAATATATCAACCTTTACAAAAATATAACGCCATGCAATGAAATATAAACACATCTAAACATTTAACTGTCTTTAATTTTTCTGTCGGTAAATCTTGCGGTTTCCGAGTGGATACTAGTGGCAGAAACTGTATCCATCCTATAAAAAAGTTATGGCACAGTAACATATTTCTTTTTGTGCATATCCCATGACCTCCTATTTTATTGTAACACTTAATTAAATTTTATAAATAAGTTATGCAGGTAACCAGAAGTACACAAATAATGTGAGTGAGGATAAAAATAGCATTATATTTTGTAGTACCCTCACCTTTGTCTACGTAATTTGACCAATATTCAGTACTTTCCAATGGGATATTTTTAAGGATACTGCGTGCCACAGTATTTCTAATAAGTACGTGTCAATATGATCTCAATTGGTCTAATCTTTCAGGAGCTACTTGATCATTAGGAAGAGTAACATCATAACAGTTTGTCGTATTTTTAATCGGAATAATTTATCGAATTACTTTTACTCGAACTGCGGATTTCACATATACTCCTAAAAATTTTTTCAGTATTTCCCAATTATGTAGGTTTCCTCACGACGTTTTCCTTCACCGCTGAGCACGTGATAAGTCAGCACTCAAAATTAACAGTTTCATTGGTGGTAGCACTGGGGATTGGTGGAGATTGATCTCAGGTTGCGAGTCAGCAGTATATTGAATTAAAAGCGAGCGACCCAAACCCGTGGGTTCTGGCTAGCCCACCGGTTCTGCGTCAGATGAAGCTTTAATAGTCTCGGGACTGAAAGCAAAAACATCAGTCAATACGAGATACAAGAAAGCGAGCGCCCAGACAATGAGCTACCAGCCCATAACCACGCCGATTTAAAGGGTTGATTAACAACATTTGAATTGACTAGGCGGCCGCAGTGGCAGACTTCAGTGCATGGGCCATAAGTTCCAATCCCACCTGCGATTGCTATTTTTAAGACCTACAGACAATTTTTCTGAATCTAGTGTTTTTTCTGTTACTTTAGTTTGTAAGGCGCCTCAAACACTGAATTTTTTATCACATAATAGTGTTGAAGTTTACAAGAAAAGAAACAAAAAAAGAGAGAACATTACATATCAGATCTGCAGCTCCTATTTGCAATTTGACCTTTTATTGAATTATAACTAAAAGCTTACTTATTTTGCAACGGTAAAGAAAGTTTACGCCTTTATTTTATATGACTGTTCAGGATTCTGTGAATACTCAATAGTCAATAGACGGGTGCGTTTTAGTTTAACGGTAAATAACTTTCCGTTCAACGAGGTTAGCAGTAAAAGTGATTTGACCATTGCAAATAGCGGATCCACATTCACCTCAGTATTGAGAGTCAAGGAGCCACGTTAAGATTTAAAATACCTACATAGAAGGACAAACTTTGATCATGTCTAGGTTAGGTTAGGTTATAAACGGATACAAAGCTTCTAGTCGCCAGTTGTTCAGTTATAGTGTAGAGTAGAAGGTTTCTGATCATGTAATTATTATGGACTAGTGGACGCCGAGTGGTCGAAATTAGACCATAATTAATTTAAACTATAAGTTTCAACAAAATCTATTCTGTAATACAATACATAACAAACAAAAAAAGTATATATGAGTGTGTGTGTGTCAAATACATGGTAGTGTGTGTAATGTTTTCTATATGGATTTAATGTATTTTTATGCATAATAAAAAATATTAGCATTCTGCACTCCTTATTAGTACAGCTGTAGAAGGGTTTAAAGGAAAACTATTTTTATTTCAGCTGTCGCTTGGCTGGTGATACCTTTCAAGATAGAGAACTACCAGTCGCTGCTGCCCATTCAGTCCTGGCGACTGTACCTGGCGCTTGGCAGCATACCTGGTTTCCTAGCCGGGGTGTGGGTCCTCTTCCTGCCCGAAAGCCCCAGACTTCTTTGCGACACCAACAGGAGCGAGAAGGCGCTAAATCTCTTGGCCAAAATCCATAAGAGCAATGTGGGTTCGGCCGGCGAATTTAAGGTGATGATTATTTGGTGACATTGTTTTCTTTTTGGACAAACATGGCAAACAAATAATTAAATTAGGTGACGGTAAGTGATCGGTACTCATGGACTTCGACAACGCGCGCGAGTTTGTTACTGTTGCCAAGCATTTAGAGAATGTGCCTCCAGAAACTCCATAGCATTAAAACTTACAAAAGAAAGTTACCTAGAACTGCCTATTGAAGGTCAGAATCAAACCCATAAAAATCACCGAAACCTACGAGGGTAATGAAAGGTAATGTAATTATGCTCCGCTGTCTAGTTTATGCCTAGTTTGGCATTGGGGACAAAAAAAAGCTATTTTTTTCTTTCATGAAAGAAGGTGGCGAGGGTGCTTGTTAAGCGAACCCTGATGTTAAGTGATAACCTGCACCCATGGACATTTGCAATACCCTTAGGCGTGCAAATGTGTTAACCTTTTAACAATAAAGTGGGCCCAGAGTACCTCATTCACATAGATTAATTAAGAATGAAATATGAAGATATAATAATAACGAGCTTGAAAATTCTGTTTGCAGATAAAGAAGTTAATAGTGGACAACCTTTTCGTGGCGAAAACTTTGAACGGCGATGAGAACAGAACGAAAGCCCTATTTATTGGCGTCCTGAAAGATCTTAAGACGTTCGTTTCGAAGAGTTACGCCTGGAAGTCCACCTTGATACTGTTTGTGTTCTTCGCCAATATGGCCGCGTAAGTTCAGAGCTGCAACAGTTTCAGTATAATTCTTCCGCTTAAAAATAGATCTGTCGTATAAAGTGATGAAACGTGAAAGACAGTTAAAAAATAAAAACGCAACAAGTCATAAAATACTCATGTAAAGTCAAAGTAAAAGTGAAAATTTCTTCATTCAATGCTAGCGAACCGCCCCGGCTTCCCACGGGTGCAATATAAGCACTAATGTGAGGCAGTGTAGAGTGATTAATAATATTATGATTGTGATTAGTCTATACTACAGGATATCTTTAAATACAATATTTACAGCTGTTTTTCATCACGTTACAAATGTTTAATTTTCTCGCTTTTTCTCTACTACAATAGCCATGTGTACTACTGCATATAAACCTTCCTCTTGGATCACTCTATATATTGCTGAAAACTGCATCAAAGTCCGTTGCGTAGTTATAATCTTACAAATATCGGGAGCGACTTTGTTTTATACTGTGTAAAGATCTCTCTTACTACCGTCTTATTTTAAGTTCTTCATCATCATCATCATCATTTCAGCCTGTTTGAGTCCACTGCTGAACATAGGCCTCCCCCATAGACTGCCACGAAGTACGATGCTGAGCCACCTGCATCCATCGACTCTCAATGAACTTCAAAAAACTACCACTGGTGCTCTGTTGTGCACTGTGTTGAGGTTCTGTTACCTCATTTTAATGATATAAGTCTACAAACATTTAGCAATATAATCAGCAGCAGCCAGGGGACTTGCAGGTGCAAAGCAAGAGTCATATCCACACATCCTTGTCGTCAATGAATACATTGACCATAAGGATGTGTTGATTGAATGAATACATTCTACATTATGCCCCCGCTAATGTCCTCAATGAATTCTACGACACTAAATAGGCCCTTGCCATATTACAATTAATACAATAATTTAATTGTTTACAATTAATTATAGAAAGTGAACATACCTTTTTTCCTTTTGCAGTGGCTTCGGCCTTAATCTTTGGATACCGGAGTTACTCCTTCGGATGCAGGGGAAGGAATGCACGAACCGTATCTCAAATATCCCCGAAAGCGCCAAGCTGTTCAATTCAAGCAACATAGAGTGGAAGGAACTAACCAAGAGCCGTGATGCTTACCGAACAGTCTACGAACGGTTCAACGGTACCCTGTTTGAAGTGGTCGGCTCTGGAAGGGGAGGCAGCAGATGTGAAGAGAACATTGACAGTGCTGTAAGTGGCACTATGTATTTTTACTTGTTTTTAGAAATAGGAAAGGGAAGAGAAATGTTTCGCCTTCAGTTTTAACCAGTTTTGCTATGAGAAGGTCATGAATCGATGACTACATTTCTACTGAACGAACAAAGAGACGAAATAAGTATACAACATAAAGTATTAGGATAATTTTGAACTCATTTCGGGTTCCAATCAATTTTCAAATCTGTTTTTCACCGTGGAAGCAAATCAAATAACAAAATGTACTGGGCAGTGTTAACTAAAAAATAACTACAACTTGTAAATATAAAAATATTTACAATTTTCAAATATTTCAATTTTCAATTTTCTGTAATTCAGAAACTATACTGGTATTGACGATACCAAACTTAGAAACATTCAGACAGAAAGACAGATATGCATAGAAATATATATATAAATTTTAGCCTACGTGTTATTCTGATGTAGAAGCTATATTACTGTAAAGTTTCATTGAAATCTATTTCACTACGAAATAGATTTCAATGAAACTTTATTATATTTGCGTGAAAGAGTAACAAACATCCATCCATACATACCAACTTTCGCGTTTGTAATAGGCTGAAGGCGTAACATTCAGACATAAAAGCAGATATACATAAAATATAAATATAAATTATAGCCTGTATAGCTGTAGAATAACACATTCTGATGTATAAGCTATATTATAGTAAAATTTCATTAAGATCCATTCAGTAATATTTGCGTGAAACAGTAACAAAAATCCATCCATACATAAAAACTTTTGCCTTTATAATATAAAGTAAGGATTAGTAAGGATATTCCGATATCCTTACTAATCCTTACTTCCTTAGCTGGGGGTTAGGGATGGAGGAAAAAAGTTTTCAAACCTATTTACAAACTTTAAACATTTACACTTCTAACGATGCGACGACCCGTCGTTGTCGCACAAGTATTCCTCTTACTTCTTCAACTCTTTTCACTTCCATTAACACTTTTAAAGTTCCACTTTACATTTCTTCACTTTGTTCTTTTCCTACCACTTTGTTACAATTTCGATCATCTTTTCGTGTAAAACTTTCAATAATGCAGACATTTAAGTGCCGATTCTCAACTGTATTTTTGCATACGACGTTCGGGAATAACTTTTTTCCCGCTCTATTTCACAGTATGTACTCCTGATTTATTTTTAAAACTACCGTTACATTATTTGCAGCATTGGACTCTATCACACCAGCAACACCTTTGGGCGACGATTATCACCGTTGGCATAAGTGCCAAGTTGGCGTAGGTCCGTGTAACTCCCACACACTGCTGCCTACCCACAAGGCGGCGGGGGATCCGTAAAGGATTTTTCCCACATAAAAAAAAAAAAAAACAAAAAGTGCTTGCTCTTATAATAATCATACATCTTATAATACCCAGGTCTTCACTTCCGGCCTTATAGTCGGCGCGTGCTGTGTGCTTGGCAACGCGGCGTGCGCGCTCCTCAGCGGGAGGGGAGGGGCCCGGGGGGTGCAGCGCGCGGCGGCCGCGTGCGCGCTGGCATGCGCCCTGGCATGCGCATGTCTGGCGGCAAGCGCATGTTCGTGCGCCACGTCCAGCAAGGTGGCGGTGGCAGCGGCGGCCGCTTTGAACGCTGCCTCCCTGAATGGCAACGTGCTGCTGATCAGGCTACTGCTGCACGCGCTGCCGGCCAAACTGAGGTGGGCAGAGATGACGCGATTTCTTTCTCCCACTAAGCAGTAATTTCCAAGGTCTAGGGTGAAACGACGAATGTTTTTTTTTATGCGATAAAGTGGCAAACGAGCTGGCGGTTCACCTGATGTCAAGTGATAACCGCCGCTCATGGACATTTGCAACACCTGTAGGGTTGCAAATGCGTTGCCACCTTTAAATAAAGTGGGCCCCGGCTAACTCACTCACCAGACGAAACGCAGAAGTATTACACTTCTACTTTACGCCGGTCTTCTGTGAGGTCGTGGTACAAATCCGGACGGACCTGAACATTCGTGCAACAGTGAACACTGTTGAGTGGCCCTACCATTTTTGTGTGATCGCGATTTTTTATAAAAACATTGCCCTTACTTTAGGATAACATTATCCTATGTTGCGAGGACGTTCTACATAAATAAATTTCACGCGGACAAACAACCAGATGCGAAACGACTATCTGTGGCTCACACAAATAGTTGTCCCGTGTGGGGATCGAACCCACGACCCCCGACGAATACCTTGGCAACTGCGCCAACAAGTCATTGCTGTAAGGAGTAATTCCCGGGATGTACTTGTGGGTTACACGAACTATTTGAACTTATTTGATACAACAACCAAAGTGATATTTGCAAGAGCAATTTAATCCATCACGAAATCCGTACCGTCACATTAAAAAGAGTAATTTCAGTCACATTAAAAAAATGATGACTCCGTGGCGCAGTTGCTAAGGTATTGGCGTAGGCGTCTGGAGTCGTTAGTTCGATTCCCACACGGGAAACTATTTGTGTGAACCGCAGGTAGTTGTTTCGCATCTGGGTGTTTGTCCGCGTGAAATTTATGTTTGTAAAAAGTCCCTACAACACAGGATAATGTTATCCTAAAGTAAGGGCAATGTTTTTTTAAAAAAAAAGAAAGAAAGAAAAAGAGTGTCTTAAATCAGTACGAATGATCTGAAACTGCTGTGCCTACCAGCAATGAACTCGTCTTATCGATGGGTCGCTGCTGTCTCTATCGGTTCGATTAAAATGATCGGGCAGGCCTAGATCTCCTTTGAGCCCAGTGTCCTCTTTTAGTCGCATTTTAAGATAGGAAGGAGATACCTTAGCCCTTTTTTTATGTGAAAAGTTGCCAAGCGAGCAGGCGGTTCACCTGATGTTAAGTGAATACCACCGCCCATGGACATCTGCTACACCCGAGGGTTGCAGATGCGTTGGATAGCCTTTTGAAAATTGGGCTCCGGCCACCTCACTCACCAGACGAAACGCGAAAGTATTATACTTCCACTCTACGCCGGTCTTCTGTGAGGTCGTGGTACTTACCCGGACGAGCCTGCCCATTCGCGCAACAGCCGAGGCTGCTGCGTGACTCTACCACTAGTTAGCCCTATTCTATGAGCCCGAATTTACAGGACACACAAATGTAGACTAAAAAAAACCACCTAGAAACTATACATAGCTGATTATTTGTTCCTTGGGCCTTTATTAAATACATTATTGTTTATGTGCTAATTTTTTTGACGTTCAACAGGAGAAAAACAAGCTTATGTTGTTTCCCACGGTTCGATTCCCACAGGGGCGACAATCTTTTCGTACTTTTTCTACATGTTTTAAAACTTATGTTGATTAAACTTTGACTTTCACTTCGACTTTTCACTTTGAATGGCCTGAATACATTACAGCGGTCTGGGCGTTTGCTGGGGTGCCTGGTGGGGGCGGGCTGGTGGTGTCGTCTCAAATCTGGCAGTCGGAGTGCTCCTCGATTATTCCTGTCCCGCACCGTTTATTTCGGTAGCAGCTCTACTCACTAGTTAGTATTACTTTTACGTCCTAATGGCTGAGTTTCATCATAAATAAGTTACACGTCATAATAAGATCTATAAGTCAGTCTTAATTTTTTTCAAATATTTTTTTTATCTAATCATTAACTGCAACCTTCTTTGATTCATATCTGTGCAGTTTCAATCGGTGCCATAATGATGATCAAGCTGGATGCGAACGAAGAATCCGACACGGAGAGGGCCGAGCAGGATATGGAGAAGAGTTCCGGGTTCGATCGCTACATCTCGACTCACATGTAGGAAGCACCGGAGTGAAGTGATATAAGAGAAATTTAAAGAAAAGTTCAGAGGATAATGGACCTTAGGAAATGTCGGCGTAGTGATAAAAATAAATAAAAAAAAAGTTCAAAGGTCAAAGGAACATTTCTGACCTCTTTGGTGCTTTTGTTGTGTAGGTATGCGCGTCGTCGAAAAGAGTTTAGAGCTTGAATTTTGGCGTTTGTAGACATTCTTTGTGGTTTTAAATGTGGTTAAGTTTGTAAGCTCGTTGGCGCAGTAAAACCATCGTATTCAGCGTCGGAGTCGTGGGTTTGATTAATACACAGGACGAGTCTGTGACACACAGCTAATTCCGGATCTGGGTGTTTGTTTCCATTTTTTTTTCCAATGAGGGTCGTAAAAATGTTGGCCAATACCATTAGCAACATGATTCACATGTTCTGCTCTACACTCCACTTAGCTTGGATAAGGCCAGGAAAAAGAGAGGTTATGATTGTAAACTTAGCATATTGTGTTAGCACGGAGCTGAAGAATGCAAAATTTACTGATTGCTGCGTAATTTATACAAATCTGATGTTTAAGTTGCGGATGCGTTTTTGCGGTAACCATTTAAATTGTGTTTAATTGTGCCTAAGTTTGTTAAGAGCTGTTATTTTAAGAAATCGTCTACCTGATATAAGTAACCATTCTGGTTGATGGGTTGATGATGGTTGATACTAGTTTAGATACTGGCATTTATCTAAACTAGTAATATATTTGTATGGATTATCTCTATGACTAAGGATTAAATCTACTCATAAACATAACTGTATGCACATTGTAACCCTAGGCAACCTTTAAATAAAAAATGTAATTTGTCAATGGACATCGAATTTGGTGTAATAGGACCGTCACTAAACTAAGATTTTTACTTAACGTGCCTTAAATAGACCTAAAGCTTTAGAAAACTTATACGAATATAATTATTGTGCATTTGTTAATTACAAGTGAAATATTTAACGAAGACATTTTTATTGTTCCATTACCGTTGTAAGTCGTGTACTGGATTGTGTAAATTTAAGACCATACAGCGAAAGAAATGTTTACAAGAATCGAAGCTTTTTGCATTTGATTACCGTAAGTAACTAATATTTATTCTATATATGAATGTTTAAAAAACTCATAGGTTTATCCATTGTTTTTTACAAGCAAATGAATAAGATTATTAATTTCATTCGATGTATTTAGCTATGTTTATACATAATTCTAAGATTTAAAAATGTGTTTTCTAGATTGTAAATTGTGAAAAATTTGAGGAAGAATGCACCTTTTTATTAAGGCTTAATTAGGGGCAAGAAAAAAAAACGTTATTTTAAGAAAAATATTATAAAAGTGTTAAGATATTATATAATTAAGAGCAAATTGTTGAGTATATTTCAACATCCTTAGATCATTTAAATTTGAAGTGTAATAATAAAAATAATATTGAAAAGCCTAAGAATAAAATTTGCCAATATATTTCTTTAGGTTCACATCAAGAACAATTATTGTAAAAGTCGGTTAGCATGTATGCGTAAATGTAAATCGCAAAAAATTTTATAACAAAAAATTACATTACAAAAAAATGTTAATTAACGTTTGCGTTGCGTTACATATTTAATTTAGGCTTCAAAGGGAAATGATCTAGACAAAACTTTAGTTTTTGAGATGTTTAAATTTGTTTGTAAGTGAATAGTTAGTCTAAATACTTAGTTATATTAAAATTCGCTTTGGGCGAAAAAGCCTTCTGTGATCTCTAAAAGAACATAGACATATCTTTAGCTAGTACTGTGATTAACTATATCGGAGACTTCCTTATATACGTAGTTAAAGTAAATGGAAATATTTTATTACAAAAATTACACTAAGCATTCGGATTATTACTCTAAGTACAGTTTAATACTTATTGACAGATATTAAAACTGAGTACTAGTAGAGTACAGATATTAATTACTCGTCAATTATATACGATACATTGATTCAACCAAAACATTAGGTGGAAATCCTAGAGATATACAAAGAATGTATATATGAAATTAATATTTAATAATATCTTTAATTATACTTAATAAATAATTCAGAAGCCTCGAATACAACATTATGGTGATAAGATATTTAAGATACTTTGACTTTGTCTTTGAATTGTCTCTGTAATGAAATGTGAAATATTTTAACTTATAACAAATCTGACACAAATAAATCGATTGCCATGTCGGTTTACCCAAAAATTCGCGTTTAATTAGGGGATCGAATAAAAATGGAGTAACGTTTAGAATTTATTTATTAAAGTACGTGTATCTAGCATTCTTATCCTAATCGTGTAAAAATAAAGGCCATATAATTTTATACGTCGTTTTTCTTACTAAATATTGATCACAGTTAATTTAACTAATTGCTTTATAGTTTCGATGTTTTTTCCGTGGGCTCAGATGGTTTGTCTGGCGGTAGGAACCACGCGGCGACAACGCTGGCTGCAATGAAAGAAAAGTGTTAGATTTTTCTGAAGATGGTCATTTGTTGTCCTAAGGTATCACTGAAGCCAATAGACACATAGTTGGTCAATGGAATAAACCGTTGTCGTTTTCCCCGATTTCTCTTCTCCGCCTAAGAATGTTCTATTCTCCAGGACTCAGACGAAAAATCTTACTGAACATCCTTTACCACTGGGGGGCTTTCTACATAAAACTTTTTGCTGAGTTTCACTCTCGTTCGACGAAAACCTATATTGCCTGATACAATTTTTAAATCGTACATTAAAACCGTTCACTTCTCACAATTTGAAGATAAGGTAATGTTTCAAGATGGTATTCCTGTAGAGCAATGTTGTTGCTTGCCCTGTAATTAAATAAAATTTGTATATACATCATATCACTTACATAGAACTAGCAAGACCACACGTTGAAGGTGATTCGGCAGTGGTGGAAGATCAGATTGCCAACGAGGTTGATACCAACAAACGAGCTACTACGTCCCACCATAATACTCAGGCAGGCTACCATACCTCTGAAATACAAATTAAACGTGATTTACGTATATAGGAACGTATTTGTTTTTTTTTTATCACAGAGTTACTAGTGCAGAAAATCATCTTAACTATCAAGATTCTAAGGTTGTAAATGTTGCCCGCGTTTAAAATTGTCCCGATACCCCAAGTTCCTCTCTGAGAATACAACACACGCGTAGCGTTTACTTACAACAGACAGTAGTCCGTTCTATCACATAAGAGACCACAGAACAGTCTTCTCTGTTGCACTAATAGGCAGGCCCATCCGGGTAAGTACCACGCCCTTACAGAAGGCCGGCGCGAAGTGGAAATGAAATATGCTTTTGCGCTTCGTCTGTTTAGTGACGTAGCCGGGGCCCACTTTAGTAAAAGGTCGCAACGCAACTGTAACCCTACACAGGTAAACCGCTAGTTCGTTTGCTACCTTCTCATATTAAAAAAAAACATACAAGAGCGGTCATCACACCGTGTACATAAAGTACACCCGTGTTGGGAAGGATGTTTTCTACTATCAGGCAACGAATGACAGTATACGCATGTCACGACCTGCATACCGGATCTCAATGGCCGAAAATATCATCACTTCGGCTTATAGGTATACCAAGCGTCACGTGTGTGATTCTGCGTAGGTAGAGTGTAATAGAATACGGACTAAAAATCAATATTCGAAAGTAAAAAATTCAATAATCCTCTTGGTACACATCATATTCCATTTTATTCTGTGTAAGTATCAATTAGTAATTTCTTTATCATTTCTCCATAACACATTTCAGATACAATACAAAATTACTTCACAGTATATTCACCTTGCCCGCATTTATTCTAAGCTATTTTCAGTATGTTCATTTCCATTACATATACGAGTCACGGTAATTACTTGTTTTTAGATGGATACCTACGAGTAGTATTAAAACGATATCATGCTTTCAAAAAGCAAAAATTATCGATCCACTTTTTTTGGATGGATACATCCATATTCACCTCATTTTCGACCAGCGAGATCTTTGCAATCCATTCAGAAATTTTAGAGCTACCCTGTTAAGGGCCAGCAAAAAATTCCCAAAATCTTTGATGATTTCCATGGTAGGAGATTAAAGACTATACTAAATGTTAACTCGTATGCCACATAGCGAAGGCTTTATTGGCTTCAGCGTCGGGGGTCGTGGAGTCGATTCCCACACGGGAAAACAATTTTTGTGACCCACAGATAGTTGTTTCGCATCTGGGTGTTTGTTCGCGTGAAATTTATGTTTGTAAGACGTCCTTTAAAATTAGTATTAGTTATCCTAAAGTAAGGGCAAGGTTTACAAACACAGAAACAGAAACTCGTATGCCACTTTCTTTTCAAAGACTCACCTGTAAGAAGTGGGGTACTGGTCGACGAAGTACGACGCCAATATGCCCATGCCGAGGCAAGTGGACGTGAACACCATGAATAGTACCACGCTCGACACTGGCTCGGGAGTCACGCTGACCAGGAAGCCGCTTACTGAAGATAGGCAAAGGATGCCTATCATCAGCTTCCTCCTGTGGTTGGGGAGGTACGAGATGATGAAGTTCAGGAACGCGAAGACCGACTGCGACAGCATCAGGGTGATGATGACGTTGTCCTCGATGGTTCCGATGCACGTGTCAGGCGACTGTAACAGTTGGAAATAATTCAGGACATATGGATGAGGGAAAAATATAACTGCTATACAGCGCCTTAGACCGTTGCTCGAATAGAAAAAGTCATCTCGAGACTACTTCAATGGGGTCAGTGTTCAGACATTCTAAAAAAGAATTTAATAATTTGTTCATATGTCGGTTATGAAATTGCTATGGTAATAAAAAAAGTCGGTCCAAAGATAAAATTTTTGACTGAGGCAAATTTTTAGAGGAAAAATATTTTTAGCATATTACGTGGTGCGGTTTAGCGAAAGTTAATTTCGATTCTTAATAACGTTTACTTTTATTATTGCGGTCTCCTATACGTTAGATGAAATGAAAAAAACCGAATTTTTTATATAGCAAATTGTTTCTATAGCCCATACGTCGTTTTAATTTATGGGATATTATCTTTTTCCCTCAAAAATTTAATGAGTAGAGTAATTTTTTTAAAACTGCAGTAAAAGCTAGTGGACTCTGCAAAGAAATTGATCAGAGTTTTATTTATTAATTATTCACCTCTACTTGTCTTTTGGTAAAGTTCACCACAAAGATGCTGTGTTATGCCTGCTGAAATGATCATTAAACCTCAGTCATTACTCGCTCTGAGTTGTTTAAAATTAGACCGAGTATGTATCAAGTTAAAATTGGATTTAATTTGTATTTTAATTTATTATTACATTTTTTATTTAATTTTTTATTATATTTACATAAACGATAAGGCATTTATTGTTCCCCTACCCGCAAAAACAAATAAAACTAAACTACGCAACAATACCTAACTTCATACACTTGAAGATGAAACTTCATAAGGACAATACGTGTTACCTAAATTAAAAATAAATAGTAATAGTACTCACGATTTTCTCAAAGTACCGTCAGTTGCAGGCTCGTTGGCGGTGCTATTCACTGCTATTGACGGCTGGTCGCTGGATATGAGGGTACAAATGTTCCCCGTCATGGAATGGGTCTGCATCGACACTCTTATCAGGTTAAGGATGTGCGGCAGCCACACCAGGAAGCTGTTGTTCCTGGATGAAATATATTTTATAATATATTGATAGTTTGGTAGCAAGAGTCGTGATAGCTCGGTGGCTCGCCTTTACTTCAATACACTTGAGCATCCTGAGTTCGATCCCCGGTGCCGGCACCTAAGAAATTATTAATTTTAAGTGCTGACTTATAACGTGCTCAGCGGTGAAGGAAAACATCGTGAGGAAACTTGTATCTGTATATTCGAAATAATAACAAATAAAAAATAATAAATGGGGTCGCGTCGTGGATTATGCCCTAATACACTCTGTAGATAGGAGGCCTTTGCTCAGCAGTGGGTTATGTATAGACAGTAACTTTAGTTTGATAGCTCGACTAGTGTATTTTAAAACAAAAATTAATATATTGTGAACTCCGTCCCGTGACCATGAACGCTGGGAAGGGTTCGAAATATTGGGAATTTAAAAATTTAATTAAAGCTTCATTTCACGGTGTATAATATTCGAGTAAAAACAAGAAAATCATCCGAAGGGCTCTTGTTTCCATCAATGTTCCATCTATGTTAGAGCCCTGTGGCATTTTTCGCGACGATGGTAAGAGAGCCGACGGTTTAACGTTGATCCCTTGGGAGAGAGGCAAAGCCCTTGTTTGGGACGCCACTTGCGTAGACACTTTGGCTGCCTCTCATCTAAGGGGTACTTCGGTCAGGGCCGGGGCGGCATCGGAGGCAGCTGAAGTAAGTAAATGGCGCAAATATGAGTCTTTATGTTTGGATTATGTATTTGTGCCATTTGCTGTTGAAACTTTAGGTCCGTGGGGTCCCCGCAAATCAATTTTTTTTAAAGTTTATGTCCTAGGCTTAACGCCGCGGCTGGTGACAAGAGAGCTGGTTCTTTTCTCGCTCAAACGTTAAGCATAACTATTCAGCGAGGAAATGCGGCAAGCGTTCTTGGCACCATGCCGCGTGGATTAGGTTAATTAGATAATATGTAATTTAAGATAGATTTAATCTTGTAAATATTAGATCAATAAAGATTTCAAAATATACAAGAAAATTAATTGTAATATTGAAAAATTCAAAATTAATTTGTGTAAAATAGATCTCAACTCGCTTTCCAAATAACCTAAATCCCCTTACGTTTATGAGTTACGTTTCAATTTAATTATTTGTCCAGATATAGTTTCTTTCTTTCACAATGTAATAAAATGTCCAGATATAGTTCCTTTCTTTCATCATGTAATACAAAAGCACCAAATAAAAAATTCTCCTCCATTAACGCAGTCTGGGCCATGGTTTAAATATATTCGGCCCAGACTACTTACTATTTTTCTTTCATTTAAGTGCAAACTAAAATTAACAACATAACAGCCTATGGAACAGTTTTATTAAAAAGGCTGTAAGAAAAGATTTATAACAATATGTACATTTGAAACCTATAACCTATATTACATATAGATAAACCCTACTCAGTAAGGAAATAAATAAACCTAAAACTGCACATAAAAGCATACAACCGGTATACAATAAAACCTGTGGTCACGAGGTAGGTAACGTTTAGTAATCAAACACTTTATTGCTATCCTGTTATTTCAATTAAATAACTCTTTATTTGATAGTTAATGCGTTAATAACATATTAGCATTCATTTATTCATAATACACATGCGACGTGCGTGTTATGTAATGTGTGATTCTTATATTCATCAATAATATTATTGTAATCATAATTTTAGATTTACCCATACATATCTGATTTCAAATGTTGTGGAATATTTTTTAAAATTGGCGGGAAACGAACTGTCAATTTTACTTTCCTTTTAAAATTCTCTCTGACGCGCACAACTTTTACCCTAGTTTGTACTAGAAAATATTATTATTACTCATCGCAGTTAAAAGTTTCTAAATACAGTAAGTGTTTTAAGGTTCCATATCCAAAGGGTAAAACATATTACTAAGACTCCTCTGTCTGTCTGTCCGTCTGTCACCAGGCTGTATCTCATGAGCCGTGATAGTTAGACAGTTGAAATTTTCACAGATGACGTATTTCTATTGCCGCTATAACAACAAATAATAAAAAAAATATTTAAGTGGGGCTCCCATAGAACAGACATGACTTTTTTTGCCGTTTTTATATCTCACCCCTTCGTGCGCAAATTTGACTCTTTTAATATTACAACAATTACAGCGTGGATAAAGAACAAACTTCAACATGTTCTGAAGACACGTCTTTGATAATTGTCTTGGTTGCGTTTACTCACGTTATGAAGACTATTGCTACTATGTAGTAGAGTTGGAGGGTCCGCCGCAAGTACGGAGCCCTGAAGAGTGGGGCACTCTGCTCGTAGATTGCCCTGAACAGCGATAGCTTCTTCTTTTCTGTCTCCATTACGGTAAAAGAGCTGACCTGAAAAAGCATATCGATACGCACATGCATAAACGTAAACCCCTAACTTAATAAATAAGTAAACAGTTTAAATGTTTTTTGTAATTTTGTGTTTATGACGCATTTTTACGTAACTAATCAATTATGATATTATTGCTAAAAACATTAGTACCAAACTAATCAACGTTCTTACTATTTGGCCCTCAGCAACTGATAAACATACTGAAATATACTTTTATTGTAAATAAATATATTACATATTACACTCATATAAACACACAGACACTGAAAAACAATATGTTCATCACACAATATTTTTCCATTAGTGGGAATCGAAGTCACACCCTCTGACGCAAGATGCAAGTCAATAACCACTACGCCAATCGGGTCTTTTAGAATACGGATAAAAAAGCTAAATTCAAAATCATTTTACACCCTACCGGACTTACTACTTATTTACTTCTAGTATAAATGAGATTTTTATTTATTTTTATTTTTAAACTTCATGCACAAAACAGTACATAGGCGGACTTAATGCTGACAGCATTTTCTACCAGTCAACCTTAGGGTGGTACTGAGAAGTTGAGGTGCACAAACACAGTTATGAACTAAAAAGAAAAAAATACATAATTATTAAATATAAAAATATAAGACATAATATACTTCTAGCATACAATACTTTTAAACGATACAATAAGTATTAGCTTACATATACATATATACTTTAATATACATATATAAATAAACATATATATTATATACATATACATACACATTTATATCTGATGATGTCATGAAACTGCTGGCAATTTCCCGTGAATGTACTTGCGTGCCATTTTCTTAAAAGCAAAGCGATTCTTGGCCATTCTTATTTTGAGAGGGAGCTCATTCCAAAGAAGGATAGATTGAACAAAGAAAGAGGAATGGATAAAATCAGATCGAAGAGGAGGACATAACAGAAGACGATTGTGTTTAGAGCGAAGATTCTTCGTGTTGACTGTGCTAAGGTAATGGAAGTGAGGAGATAAATATGAAGGAGTAAATGGGGAATTAAGGTAAGAAAAAAGTGAGGTCAGGGCTCTTAGGGAGCGTCGTTGTCGAATGGTTAGCCAATTTAGTTGTGACCGATACCACGCTACATGGTCATATTTGCGGAGATTGAAGACGAATCGAATGCAGTTATTCAGAAGTCGGTCTAATTTGTTGAGGTGATCTGCATTCAGGTCAAAGTAGCACACGTCACCATAGTCGATTAAAGAAAAAATTAAGGCCTGTACGAGCGTTACTTTAGTTTTTATCGGCAGGAAATTTTTAAGTCTGTAAAGACAGCGCAAGACACTAGTTACTCTTTGGCTGACACTAGCTATTTGATCTCTCCAACAAAACGTCCTGTCAATGAGCAAACCTAAATTTTTAACCTTATTTTGCAGGGGCATGGGGGAGCTGTCAAAAACAATTGTTGGAAGATTTTAAATGTTTAAATTGAAATATTTCTTAAAGTTCAATTCTATTGAAAGACGTAATACAAAAAAAGGTTAAATAAGACAATCTAAAAAAGTTGGACCATTTGGTATCTAATTCCGGACTATCATAATTATGTTCCAATTCCCATGTCAAGTTTGGCAAGCACAACGTTATAAAAGTTGTAAAACAGAGATGCTCAGCAGCTTTTTTAGCTCTTGCACACATCGGCAGTTACTTCCGGGGAAATATCACATATTCGTTCTGGATCATTTATTTACTACCGACCCATCCTGGCTTTGCGCACTGTCCACTATGCACCAATTATCCGAAAAAAGTCGATCCGATCACTAATAAACTTTTAAGGGTGACCCAATGGGGTTATCTGGAGATTGCATGAAAATTACATCAGAATCGGTGTAGCCGTTTTATAGTCCATTGGGAAAATACATACGCACATCAATTTTCATATATATAGAAGAGTAGAGCGATCCAGTAATACAACCATTAGCAAATTCCTATTCTTTTTTATGTAAGAAGATGGCAAGCCAGTTGGTTCACCTGATGTTAAGTGTAAACCGCCGTCCGTGGACATTTGCAACACCCGTAGGGTTGCAAATACGTTGTCCCTTTATAATGCTACCACTTCACGTCGGTCTTCTGTTAGGTCGTACTTTTCCGGAAAGACCTGCCCATTCGTGCAACATCGAAGACTGTACCGGGGTTCTACCACAGTAAATTATTAAAGTAACAAAAAAATATAGCGCTTACCCCGAAATCTTGCTTGGAGCTGGAATAGTTCACCGCGTAGATCGTCCTCATGACGTCCAATGCCTCCTCCCGTCGGCCGCAATTGGCGAGGAACTTGGGTGATTCCCTGAAGAAGTAGACCGCCACCGCCCCCAACCCTGAGGGCACGGCGAGCGCGATGTTCAGCAGCCGCCAGGGCCTGAAGACAATGCCCAGGAGTGATATCGGCACCTCGAATTGCAGCTTCAGTATCGGGTACGTAAGAACTGCAAGCAAACGAAAGGGAAATTTGTGGGTAACAGTATCGTATTCTAAGTACTCAGGTCAGTCAGCTTTGCAACACAAAAAAACTTCTGTGATAAAAGGTTTCAATATTCGAATCTTTTAAATAACCTTTCCACCAGGGTAATAAAACAGAATACAAAGATTCGTGAATGCTGTTGAACTACTATTTTGAAATGATATTTCTAAAACCTGTAATTTCTAATCAACAGTCTAAGCAATAGCTTTCGCATTTCAGGGTTTTCAGGGTAAAGACATTTAGTATTGAATAAATTCGTATCATCACTTATAAAATATAATAGCTTTCTCACAATATAACTAGGGCTAGGCAGTAACGCCTCATTCAAAATTAACTCTATGCGCAGTTATAGCGTTCTCGCAATAGTACCTAAAGCGTTAGGAAAATTACTATTATAGGAATTCTGCTGTGCCATGGTATCATGGTGCCCAAACTGACTTCAGTGCTTAGCGGGCACCATTTACTTGCAAATAATTGGAAACACTTAAAATGAATGAAATGTTGCATATCTCCTTTCTATATGAAAATCGACGAAATATATGAACCCAACATGACATAATAATTCGATTTTAAAAGCGTTTCAGCTTCTTCATCAATGACGGTCTCATAAAAAAGTGCTCTACATCTACCAATACATAATTCTAGCTTCGCACGCGTGGAAACCCTTGAATCTTTTTTTTTAAATATACATCTTTTGTAATAAAAATAATCCTATGTCCTTTTTTATACCTCTAAGAATTAGTGTACAAAGATTCATGATAATCGGTTGAGTAGTTTTAGCGTGAAAGCGTAACAAACAAACTTACATTCACATTTATAATACTAGTAGGGATGTAACATAGAGGGGTCACACGTCGAAACCATACTATACTCTGTTTTTATGCATTACAGGGCAGTAAGCTTAGACCTCTAGATCGTAATCTCTACTTTACTAAGAGTAAATTAAAGATTACGGTGGAAAATATTACTGCAAATAGGCAACTTGAAGATATATTCGTGTTTTTCTATTGAGTTGAGTTTTACACTACAAAAAAACTCAAGTAGCAGTACGACGTAAGCCCGTCAACAAAGGCAAAATACTTGGAAGACTTATTGCATTGGTTTGTTGCAATAAAATCTTATGCGTCAACATAAGCTACGACAATATTCTATTGTTATCTTTGTTCATTTGTCAGTGAAAAGAAAAATAACTACACGTGTGGTCAACGAAATTGATTTAACGATCACGTTTTATTAGATCTATTATTTTTATTGAATACGTTTGCGTATCTTTTTATATTGACAGCCACACCGCTTGTTTTCTCCCGAGCAAGAAAATACATCAGCGAACACGTAACGTTAATAAAATTCATTGTTTCTTAAAACTTTAATAACTTTACATTAAATGAAGATGTAATAAAATGTTCTTTTTTTCCATAAAAACCCACATTTTTTTAGCTAAGAGCAAAATATGTAAAAAATAATACTAATAGAATTAATTGTCTATCCAGTAAATTATCGGTGATGGGCACTCAACAGCAGACCTCTATCATTTCAGTTACATAGTTTAACTAATAGTTGAATGCCTTGCAGTATATGATTAATATTGAGAGCTGGTTCTTTTCTCCTCAAAAGTTAAGCACTATTCAGCGAGGAAATGCAGCTAGCGTTCTTGGCACCATGCCGCGTGGAGTAGGTTTATTAGATAATATTTGGATTCTAATTTAGATAGATTTAATGTTGTAAATGTTGGATAAATAAATTGTTTATAAGCCATTAACATTTTATTTATTTCATCGTCCATAAAACTTAATTTCATCGCAATCAGACAGAATGATTAAATCATTCATTATTTTATAAACATAGAGAATACAGATAAAATAAAAATGTCGGATTACCACACATTTGCATACACGCGAGCGCCGCACAAGAGTATCACTTATTAGTCATATCTGTGACGGCTTTTATTTCTTTTTAATTCCTACAGAGTGCACATCATTCCTCACCATCACTCAACAAAGTCAGCTGGGCTGTGGACTTTGTCTTCTTTCTTATTCCTTACCTTTTTTTTTATTTATAACGATTACTAGAGATCCGCCCTACTAATGCTGGTATTAATCCACTCTTCAGTACGCACCAGCCGAACTGATTTGAATTATGATCGTGTGTGAACAGTTTTAAATTTTTTTTGGTTTAGATGTACACTTAGGACTTATTTTAACAAAAAAAAAATATATTTATCCATGAAGAATTGAAGAATATGAGATATGACATGAAAGGGATATAAGAAAAGTATGAATGACATATAATTTCTAGGTTTTTTATAGTTACAGTTATACAGATCCCGTCGAAACATAATCATTTATAATGTAATGACAACTCACCAGCTGCAAACGCGGGTGACAGTAGTATGAAGCAAGTCATCATCACCATGTACTTATTCCTAACTCTCGCAATGCATGACTCTCCCACCAGCGTGTAGGAAACGGAGTTAGCGGCGCAAGAGCTGAAAAGAGATTTGAAACTTAGAAACACTCAGAACTCAAAGAAGTTAGAAGTAAGCAGATGGAAGAGCAGCTCTATGATTTAAGGCATGTGGCCCTGTTGTTTTAGCTACGTGTATATAACGAAGGGTGGGTGGTAGGAAATAATGATACAAAGTGAGTTGAAATGGACGCACAAGACGGATACCAGACATATGTATGATAAGCAATTTTTAAGAAATCAATATAAACAAGCTTCCTTTGTCTTTATAAAACAATATGTTTTTGTCAATATCATTTCAATTTACGTATCACAGTTTTCCTCTTTGAGGCTCATTAAAGAGAGATTTGAATCTTTACGTTTCATTTGTCTTTTTTGCTCCTCCAGTAGGATCCTGTGTTTTACGGACTTTAATCATAAACAAATTGTGCGCGACCAGAGATCACTTGTAAGAAAGGGGAGTAATATGTCAAACTCTAGAGTAGTCAGAATACAATTTTTTTTATAAAATGACCAAAAACTTCGTCGAATCTCCCCATAACCAAATAATGATATTAAAAGACTGATGTTGTTAAATCTGTCAAGCTTTGCTTGTCAGATTTAACATTTACATCTATGAAACGTGGTTATTGAACCACGTTTCATAGATGTAAATGTTAAATCTGATAGAGCCAATGCTCTATCTATAACAGAAAATGTATCAGCTTGTATGTGTTTTTGCTTCCGTTTCAATTCTATTAAACACTGTCCGCGCAACCTCGCGAATTGCTCCGCGCAAATAAGATGGTACATTACTTTTTATGTCTGATTCATGCCAATTAATGTTACTAAGGGCAGAATTACACGGACACTAGACTTATGTAACTTTATATTCATAACAATCTCATCGTTAATCTAAACTGTAGGTAATACAGAAAATACTATCATTGCCCTAACACGTGCAATATTAACGGTATTTAAAACATTTAATGTTTTGAAAAACACAATTATGACTGTGTTGAGCCAGTTTGTGTAGGTAATTATAATTTAAAATAACTCATCGACTTTTCATTTGCTTTGTTAAGATATGTCCACTGTCTACTTTTCACTGCCGCTATAATAATATTTCTTTTAAGTGTGAAATAGCCTGTCTTTCATACAATATGTTTTATTATGTAATATATGTTTAAGGAATATTTAAGGTATTTTTAAAATGGGTTTGTAATCACATTCAAGCACACTTTTAAACCATATGACACTCAGATGATACCGTTCTCCCATTCTATGGTACTTCCTGGAACCATCATTTTCCAGAAGTAGAAGCAGGAATGAGGCTTATATCTAATTGGCTAAGGACTCAATTCAATTTCAAATATCTTTATTCAATATAGAAGCATAACACTTACATATTTATTCTCAAAACGCTACCACCGGTTCGGAATAGAAAAACCACTGACCTGAGAAGAACCGGCGAAAGAAACTCAGCGGGACATTTTTTTACCATTATTTGACAAAAAAACATGTTTACAAATGTATTGAATTCTGATTGAAAGAGCCTGGAGCGATCAATTCGTTTCCAGCACGTGTCATTTCATGTAAATAATCACTTCCTTTACAATTTGTTTGAATTTAGAAATTGATAAATTGTAAATGTTTTCTGGGATTTTGTCGTAAAAACGTACAGATTGTCCATAAAAGAATTACTAATTCTACGCAGTCTGGTTGTGTGGTAGGGCCACGCAATACTGTTGCACGAACGTCGCTCCCTCCGGGTAAGTACCACGACCTCACAGAAGACCAGCGTTAAGTAGAAGTAATATGTTATACTTCTGCGTTTCGTCTGGTGAGTGAGGTAGCCGGGCCCCACTTTATTTAAAGGTGGCAACGCATTTGCAACCGTACGGGTGTTGCAAATGTCCATGGGCGGCGGTTATCATTTAACATCAGGTGAACCACTATCTTCTTTGCCACTTTCTCACGTAAAAAAAGAATTAATTAATGTTTGTTCCTAGTATTTATTTCATGCACATCCGCATGCCTTGAAAATTCTAACCTTTTAACTAATCTTTTCACCCTAAATGCCCAAAATGGTTGTTACCATCAAAAAAAAAAACCGAAATTTTAAATCACACATCGGATTCTTGGTTAGTCTAGTATGTAAAATCATAAATATACTAAGAAAACTAGGAGGTTCGGCGTGCTTCGATATATTTTAATCAGTTTTCCTACTTAAATCAGTTTACGTAGCTCTCTGCCACGTTACATGATTAACTAGGAGGGAGCACAAAGGTCTGTAATACGGGTCATGCTTAAGAAACCTCATAGGTATCCAAAGTCCGATCTCTATTACAAATTTTCTTATAAAGAAGTTATCCGTCTGTTTATAAAATAGGAGTATCTCATTTCCATTGAATTTTTCATACATTTCATTTAGTCATAACACCGTTACAGTTAAAAACCATTCCGATGCTGCAGCTAAATTTGTTTAACCGATGTCAATTGTTCGGAAGCAACTGTGTAACTCAAAACACACTAAATATGCCATTCAACAATCCAAATTGCGAACGAGCATTAAAACTTATCAAATTAATTAAAGAAAGGAAAAACACTGGGCCTACTACTTCGTTCTCCCGGACGTTGTCTCAAGCAGCTTTAATAGATATAAACGAGTATAAGGGTACGTTCACATGGTCGTTTTTAACTATCCGGTCCGAATTTAACATTTTGTCATGTGGTCAACGAAGCTTTTTTCTAAAAGCAAAAATTTCATCAAATAAATACAAAGATGAAGTCATCGTCCATTTGCGGCATACTGGAACAAGTATAAGTAAGTATGCTACGCTACGAATACTAAGAAAATTGTGTTATGAATGCGAGTTTTTATAGTATATTCATCTCTAATTTTTTTTTCATTCACAGATTCCGGATTCTGATGCAGTCACCTTAATATTATTGAGTATACAAAGAGTATATATTATAGGCGATTATAGGCGCTGTAATGTAAGTATTATTAATTTTACACATATAAAATGATACGAATCATTGAACCTATAGAATGAGACGAATCATAGCACGCAATTGTGATTCGAGAATGGAAAAATCGAAAAGAGTCGCCGCTTTCCATCTCACGTCACATGGGTGACGCTCGCCACTGAGCTTATATCTTTTTATTATTATTTTCATGCTGAGCAACTATTGTTATATCCTTTTACATTTACTTTTTCTACATATTTCGATTGTATAAACAATTTAAATTTCTAGTCTGAGCCTTTTATTTATTGCACTTTAACTTTTGTACATATTTTAATTGTTACTGTAATGAGCTGTGCACTGTACATTTAAAGAACTTAAGTTGGGTGTGCTTTGTTGCTTTTTTTCGGACGCTAGTGTAAACAGGCCTTATGACGCTTTACAATGTAATAACAACAGACGCCACATGATCTTCTATCCGGACAATGATTTTGTTTGCATCATAATGTCATTTAAACTTTTTTATAAGCTTTCAAGTAACGGCTTCTCGTATTATAAATGAGAGCGTTTTTTTTTATAATGGTCAATCTGTTTTTAAATTCCCGATGTTTCCAACACTTTATAGCATCTTTGATCATGCCAAATACTAGTCTATACGGATTTATTTAAAATATCTTATGAAAAATGAACAGTTGTTTAAGACTTCTTTGATATAAAAGTCTAATCTAGGGAATCTGTAGTACCTGTATTGTGCAAGTATAGGTAGGTAAATTCAGAACACTAGTGGCTGATTCCAACCTCTTTCAGCCTCGAGAGTGGATGCATGGACTAATGGTCTGAGTTTGAGGGTTCTCAACCAAGCGGCGTCCATTAATTTTTCATTAATGCTTTCCTTATTTTTCTATTAAAAACGTTAAAGTCGTGATCACTAATTAATCAGAAGGGAGTGTCCATCGATTCGTGGAAATCGTTCTAATTACAACACTTACAAACAGACGGATAAAACTTGAGCACGCCCAGAGCGATCCAGTTGGTTGCGAGGCTGCAGATACTGGAGAGTACAAAGCCGAAGGTCAAGGAGAGCAGCAGCGTGAACCTTCGACCCCTGGTGTCGGAGACGTAGCCCCAGATGTACGACACGAGGAGAATGCCTGACGACAAAAATGTTTCGTGCAATCTATCAATTGGTACAAAGTCTACGTTGAACTGGTATGATATATTAATAAATAATACTACAGGAATGACGTCTCCACATAAATAAATAGTATTTGAGGTTGTTACATCAAGGGAATAGAACAGTTTGGAAATTACAGATTTCTCATTTGATGTCATAATGTGTCTTCGAGGCAAGAGTGAATAGGGCGTTACTGAGCTAGATTATCATATAAGGTCTTACTTAGTCTTAGTCTTCGTAGTCTTAGTTAGATATACATGTTACTAACTTACAATCAGGTGAGATAATAGTCACGCACTAGCCTGTTCTTGTGTTAGAGATATTATTCAAGCTCTGGCAAGCAATGGATGCTGCTCATGTATTTATGTGCGGTAGTTATGAGAATAGTACGTACCAATGAATGGCATGGAGGTGAGGATGCCTTTCCGGGCGACAGTCAGTTCAAGGTCGCAGGCGGCTGCCACCACCAGGCTGAAGCCGAAGAGGTCGGCGCCGATTGCCAAGAGTGATAAGGCACAGGTTGCCGCGAGCAGTATGTTGTATACCCCATTGCCTGGTGACAGATATGATAAAATGAAACGGAAATATATTCCTCTCTCAACTACACACGTTACAGAGAAATATGGTTGAGGATGATAAGGGCATCCTCAACTGTGTTCCGCTAAACCTTAAGTAATCGATGTGCTGATTTAAAATGATCAAAATGCTTTCAAAGCGTGTTAATTCTAACAACTCCTCAGAGCACTCCCCGTGATAAATGTGATAAAAAACATAAGTAAAGTAAAAGCACAACGCCAACGGATCGAAGAAATCGGAGATCAGAGAGAACATGGTCGTTGATGGTCGCACAGTTCCTTGCTGATCCGGTTACGCCAGGTATAAAATGGTATACCACAGCATTACACTTTTCTTTTTACTTCACTAAGGTAAATGGAACTGAGAGCTTTCTTTGTAAATCGCCGCACATTAGTCTCAATTTGGTGTTATTAATGATTTTAAGACATATGTAACACAGGTTGCTCGGTTACTTAACTAAGTATATTGAATTAAAATTAACAACTTAATTGGTGCCGGCACCGCGGATCGAGCTCAGGTTGTTCGAGGTATCATTTTATAAATATTTAAATTTTCGTTTTTATAGAAAACTGAAACAAGGTAGTTACAGCTAAGATCAAATGTTTGTGAATAGGAACGCAACCAAATAGTTAAGTCTTACTAGTACACCGAAAGACTGACTTGGCGCTTCACTACTAAAATCAAATCTCTTCAAATCGAGTACCAGGAAAACATCACAAATTCAATTATGTAACTTTGATGCTAAGTTCCACAACATATAACGGCATTATGTTAATGAAAATAGTAGATTTTCCTCATATACTTACATTTGATTCAATATGAATTTATCTAAGAAAACCTCAGTGTTCAGATTGAGTTTTTACATTGGTTGAGGTTTCGTCCGTACCTTTTTTTAATTTAATGTCTTCATTATGCAGCTAATGTTAGATATTTTAAGTGTTTGCAAAATTGCAATTTGCATTATAATAATAATAAAATAATAATAAAATATCTTTATTCACATAGACGCTTGCGCGTTCTTATGAAACGTCAAAATTTTACAAGAAATTAACACGTTCGTAAGTTACCACCGGTTCGGAAAGGTTTCTGTTGAGACAGAAACCGGCGAAACTCAACAGTTGCTCTTTTTTAAAAAATCAGTTTACAATATAATAGTACAGGTACATAGTCTTAATTTTAGCCTACATGAGTATCAACAGTATTAACCCCACATAATTGGCGTCGTCAAGATATCGGCAATAGTATAATAGGCTTTAGCCAAAGTCAATACTTTTAATTTTTATTTACAAAAAATTCATCAAGTGGCAGACTTAACATCGACTGTGGGATTTTATTATACATGCGCACACTTTGCCCCATGAACGATCTGTTTACTTTTTGTAGGCGAAATAATGGCGTAGTTAGTTTGTCCTTATTTCTAGTATTTAGTTTATGTCTGTCACTATTCTTTTGATAATTATTAATATTCGAAATATTACAATAAATATTCATTGTTAGTCAATTTTATTCGCATTCCAGGAAATTGTTTGTCTAGTTTATGTCCTAAACACATGTTTGAGTACACGCAATTGTAATAATATTGGAAGTAAAAATTTAGGATAAGACTAAAAAACAATTGATTGTATAGAAAATTTGTTATTTCAAATTAATCCTAATATCATTATTTATATCATAGCAGAATTGTGAATAATTAAAAAAAATTAGTAGTACTATACTCATAGTCTGTAATTTAACATCACAACTCATAAACCATTTAACATTTTAAATTACTTTATTATAATAGTCAAGTCATCTTCGTATGTATATAGAAGTTATATCATGTGCTGTCTATTTCAAATATTAGTAACGCTGAATATTTACTGTTTAACCCATCTATATATTATAAATAAATTTGAAGTGTCTGTCTATTTTCTAAATAAATACCAAAATTAATGTGACAACTGAAAAATTTTTGTTTGTTTGTCTTGTGATATTTCTGTTCAAACAGATTCCGAAGCTTAATTGTTGCACAAATGGGCAGGACCATCGGCGTATGTACCACGACCTCACAGAAGACCAGCGTAAAGTGGAAGTATGACAAATACTTTCACGTTTCGTCTGGTGAGTGAGCCGGAGCCCAATTTTCAAACGGTTGACAACCTTTAACCGCTTTAGACGCACCTGTAACCCTTGGGTGTAGCAGATGTCCATGGGCTGCGGTATTCACTTACCATCAGGTGAACCGTCTGCTCGTTTGGCAACTTTTCACATAAAAAAAAATCTTGAATATTACCTTTAATTCTGGTGTATGTTATTTCGCTACATTGCAGGAGATATGAATGCAATCATTTACAACTAGTTGGAACCCAGCGCGTGGCTGCTGCAGTAGAAATTATTCTAGAAATGTCGTTTGAAATTTGGTAGAGTTCTCCTGTTTCATTTACCAGCAACACACACGCCATCTTATGTAAATTAACTGCACTACGCCGTTAACATTCCCGTGAGAACTAGTAAATTTAACTATATACTCGTCTAATCCAATGCTAGCAATAAGTTGACAAAGTTTCATCGCAATCGGTTGAGCGATATGGCACCGTATAAACTACGAACAAACAAACATCCGTTGATTTTATATAAGATGAATAGATTTGGTTCCTAAAACTAAAACTAGACCCGGAAACCTAGTTACTAAAGGGCCGGAGTAGCGGATATAAACTTTTGCATATAAAAATTAAATGTTAAATAATTAATTTAACATTGGTCGTTACAAAAATCCCGGTGTACGAACTTCGCGATGATGAAATGCGTTGTTCTCTTCAATCAGAAAAGGTTTCCTCGTAAGATAAAGTTCGTGTCTAAGTTCGTGTTTGATCTCAGTTAGCAGTAAGCAACCTGTGAAGTCAGCCGTCTCTAGAACCTAATTTTTCAATGACGTCACCTGTTAATACTCGTAAGGTCATTATGATCGATCACAATAAGACATAATTTCGAAATTTAGCACATACACGCATCACGCGGTTGAACACTTGGTCCAATCATTAACGCTTTTGTTCTCGAGTGTCCAATTAAACACGTTTCTTTGTTTTGAACCCATCTACGTAACGTTTATGGCGGACGTCCACGTTGACGAATGCGCCCGTTCTAAATGAAAAAATATGCGGTAAGTTTTGTTTTTATTTTATCTAGTACCTTTCTATCACATCACCGAAGAGCTCGCGATTAGGCAACGTTAAATGCAGTTCACACGAATGCTCGTAGGATTGACAGTCATCGAACTTTTGACCCGCAATGCGAAAGCCAATAGGTTAGTGGCTGCGCCAACTGAGCAAGCTGCACTATGTATATTTACAACATAACCATACTGTATACAAGCAAAGAAATATATTCCAATTGCTTTAAATTAAGACAAGAGGACTGTCACGCATTTAATATCAATTGGGGTGGACGAAGTAATGCTTTGCGTTTACTATGTCACTCGGATAGTGAGCTTGTCACCATGTATTGGACACATTGAACACAAGTCTTTCCCGAAGACGATTATCGACACATCACTGGAATCGGAACTCGCGATCTCGTTTTAGAACTGAAAATGCAACATCTACTATGCAAACCGCCTTTTATGCTATTCATAGAGGTATACATAGCACATGCAAGCATTATACATGCATTTCCCGACACAGCTAACAAACGAACTCAGCACGGCTTTTCAAGTCCCTTCCTCACTGTACGCCGGCACTAATTGATATCTCATGTAACAATAATAAACAAAACATCCCGCGTCCACGTAACCTATAAAACCTTTCAGCAATCAACTACAGGAGGAGCCACGACAAACTTTGACGTCGACACCGGGCCCGGTCGCGACGCGTAACGACTTGGCTACCGAAGACCATAAATACCGGTCTTCTCCAGGGTCTCCTCGAACGGCAGCTGGTCTTCGGTCTTCGGGTTGTCACTCGGCATCGGGAAGTCCGCGCGGCCGCACGCCCTGTGTACGCAATTGCACTGAATAAAGCCGAACGTGGAGATTTCAGAGTCACGTTAGGCGCGACGCACACCGCGCGGGTGAAACGCCACTTGCAAACGCCCGAAAGGCAACGCACGCATAATGATTGAAGTATTGTCGGTGATTAATTCATTAATTCATTGTAAACTTAATCTCAAATCAATCAATCTCAAATCTTAACAATGTTGAAAAGGAAAACAACACCTCAAATAAGACAAGCGTGAAGTAAATGAATTTATGCGTTTTATTTGCATTTTTTTTTACGAACGGCCGTTATGTAAATTTTATGCCTTTTAATGATCAAAGTTTAATTCTTACTGAGGGATTTATCAATTAGATACTTAAAAGGTCAACGCATCTGTAAACCCCTGGTGTAGCAGATGTCTATGGGCGGTGGTATTCACTTAAAATTAGGTGAACCATCTGCTCGTTTGGCAACTTTTCACATTAAAAAAAAAATCTTATAAGGTAAAAAGTAACCCTTATAAGTTACTCTCTTACTCTATTTTCTGTCAGTCAGTGTGTCACAACCAATTTTTCAGGAATGGGTGAACATAGCTTTTCGGAAGAACTTGAAAGTATCAAAATTTATCTGAATTTTCAACTTTTTTTATTTTTCGGATTTTTTATTTGTGCTGAACGATCTTTTGACGAAAATTGACAATTCTAGTTCAACCAGGAATACTCCGGAAATACTCTAATACCGTTCCTGAGAGAATCGGTGGTGGTTATTTACCAATTTTATTGTGGCCCTTGAGGTATGAAAACCTCGGCGTACGAGTTCGACTCGCGCTTGACCGACTTTTATGCATCAAGAACTATAACAATGCCAGTGAAAAACAAAACTCAAAACCTCAACCGGACCATATAGCGTTTCGTGGTTCAGTATGCGTCTCTTGTTTACAAACAGAAAGCGCGTAAGAAACGGCCCCCGTACTTATCCACTAATGCATAAGAATCCACCGGAATTGCATCACATACATGGCACCACATCTACCGTCTCTTACCCATTGCTCGAACGAAAACAGCCGATGTATTGGATCGAATATGTTCGCGCGAAGTTCTCGCGCGTTATATTTAGAGTGGCATAATGCCAAATAGGAACGAAATGGCCAGAGCGAGGCCAAAATGAAAATGATGAAAACACATCCACGAGCCATCAGAAAAACCGTAAATGAAAGTGGTTTTTAACATATAATATCTGTGTGTTAATATATAGGACATAAACGACAGTTTTCGTTTGTTCCTATGAAATATGTTCTCGAACGGCAAGAGAACTTTGTGTATGCGTATGGACGGAAACTTGGAATTTTTAAATTCATAACGACCTTTGGTTGGGAGCCAATTTCACTAGCTCGTGGGAAAACTTTGACGTGCGAGAGCAATCTCAAATTGGCTCTAATTCAGGCTGAAAAGAAAACTTGTGACATTTTAACGGTAATTTAACTGTAGGACTGAATGTTATTGACGCTTGTTTTTCTTTATTTCACCCAATAGTGGCTTGCCTTAGTGCATGAAGGGGCATTTAAATAATACTAGCTGCTGCCCGCGACTACGTCTGCGTAGAATAGGCTGAAGGCGTAAGCTTCAGGCTGAAAGATATATGTATCCTGGATAGATAGCCTGTCTTATTCTGATGTATAAAGCTATATTATTGTAAAGTTTCATTAAAATCCATTCAGTAGTATTTGCGTAAAAGAGTAACAAACATCCATCCATACATAAAAAATTTCGCCTTTATAATATTAGTAAGGATTGTTTGCAAGATGAGACCGTTTAACTGTAGTCTGCGCAATAGCCTCTGTTGATGTATGATAGGGTAGACGCGTCCACGAAAGTACCACGGCCTTACAGCAGACCGGCATGGAGTGGAAGTATTAAGCTTTCGCTGACATCTAAGGAGTGAGGTGTGGAAAAACCATGGCCTCACAAAAGACCAGCGCGAAGTATTAAACTTTCACTTTCCTCTGGTGAGTGAGGTAATTAAATAGGTGCTGACTTTTTTAAGGTATTTCATCTGCATACCACCGGGTGTTGCGGATGTCGATGAACGACGGTATTCCCTTAACATCAGGTGAACCGCCTGCTCGCTTGAAAACTTTTTACATAAAAATACCTCGGGGTCTGCAAATAAAAAGGTTGATTGAAATTTTTAATCCCTTCAAGTGGTCGGCGGTGACTGGAAATTCCTTAAATAAATCAGGAAGGCTAAGCGATATGAAAAAAATCGAACGAAATACTCCGCAGGACAGTAATGCGCCTGTGAAAAAGATACCATTGCCCAGCTGTAGGATTTTTATATGAAGGCCTTACTCTTTCAGCCTCTCTTAGAGATAATATTAAATTTTCCTTGAAAAGAGCTATGATTGAATGAATGAATGAATATTCTTTATTGCACACACCATGGTAAAAAAGAATACATTAAAAATAACAATTATGTAAGGGTTGTACAATTGGGCGGCCTTATTACTTAAAGCAATTTCTTCCAGTCAACCTTTGGATGGACATAATACGAAAAGAGTATTTTAGGAGTGTGGGTAAAATTAAGATAAATACATACTTTTTTTATAAAAATAAGTAAATAAATAAGTACATAAATACCTAAATAAATATATATCTTATACATATAACCATAAACATAGTTAATATATTATACCACATACGTACATACATACCACATCAAATACATATACATTATATCAGAGACACACCTAAATAAATTCTATACCTAAACCAGATTGGGCGACGGTGACTGAGCACTTCTCACCAGAGGTAGGGCATTCCATAATCGCACCTTGAACCGTAAAGGACTTAGCCACAAATTTTGTTTTGAGAGCGGGTATTTTTAATTTCAAATTTTCTGATGATCTCAGATCATGCGGATTGGATTCGAAAAACTCGAAACGTTTCTTTAAATAAAAGGCATACGAAGGATTAAACAGAACGTTGTACAAGAGTACGATAGTATATGAGCATTCCGGCGAAGTTGAATGGGTGAACTTAAGCTTAGAGTGGAAATGTGAGACATGATCGTATTTACGTAAGCCAAATATGAATCTTATACAGAAATTATGGATACGTTCATGCTTATCAAGATGCTCCTCGGTTTTAACCGAGGAGCATCTTGATAAGCTGGAGCATCTGGATTTATCCAGAGCTATGTAATATTTATATATGCAATATTGTTGCAACGTGATACAATACTGTCGCTGCCACCGAGATCTGAACCCATGTTTCTTGAGTATACTAAAGTGAAAACGACACAGGGTTACAGCTCTCTTTAAATGCTAGCCAGACTTAATTGACGTCATTGGGTGCAGCTGCGAAAAGAATAATTCAGCAACTGCGCCGGCTGACACATCAAAAATTCAAGTTGGAATTAAGTGGATGCAAACGGATCGATGAATAAAACAATTGTCATTGATTCGTAACTTGTTGCGCAACGGGCCTTTTTTTAAAATAGCAACACTTCTACCTTACTCTTTTGTCGCGAAAACTCGCTTATTCTCCATCGCGAAACAAAGAAAGTTTAATAATAAATATTCTTTGTGTACCTGGGTGAACGGTTTACGACAAACCTGTTTATGACGATAAACATGCAAGCGCTATTTTTATCACAGAAATATGATTTGTGTACTTTGAAATTCAAAGCGAAAAAGTTTCTTTGCTTGATATTTTCTGCATTCAGATGTTTTTCAATTTAAGCATGCTCCAGTCTATTTTCCTCACACTGTTAATTAAATCCAAAAGCATTTATGACGGACCTGCCCATTATGTTGCACGTGGGAAGTACCACGACCTCACAGAAGACCGGCGTGAAGGTGTCCGGTAAGTGAGGTAGCCGGGGCCCACTTTATTAAAAGATAGCAACGCGTCTGCAACCGGACGGGTGTTGCAAATGTCTGTGGGCGGTCATCACTTAACATAAGGTTTGCTATCTTTTCACGTAAAAAAAATCCAAAAGCATTGTACAAATATAAGTAATGCATTTGTATATTACTTTTGGTAGTCTATACATGCTTGCCTAAGGAGAGTTTTATCGCTTTCAGTGCCAGAATCTTCAGCCTGGGTAAAGCTTCGTCGGTTAGTAATCTAGTCGCTATTCAAATATCTTTGAAATAAAGACACGAAAACTGCTTTCTACAGATGTATATAGACGTCATTGACCTATGAATCAATCGCATTGTCAGCGTGTTGCTAAGTCAAAGTACTTTTTTATTTATACCAATCGTACGTTATAGATTGGCTAGAAAATTTATATTGAATAAAGTGATCATCAAGCAATTTTGTTCACGTTGGAATTTCAGCTTTTTGTTTATACAGAAGAAGCGGGAAAGGAACAAGCGGACAGTAATAAGTGATCTAACTCATATAGGGCCGTCTCTCTTAGATCGCCAAGTTACACCAGTTCGGTTACTGTGGTAGGGCCACGCAACAGCCTGGTGGCGACAGACAAACAGACAGTGAAATCTTAGTTATAGGGTCCCGTTTTACCCTTTGGATATGGAACCCTAAAAAAGGGTAAGCACAAAGTTTTTACTTCACGTATTAACATGTAGATTGCATGACGTGTGCCGACAACCGGACTCGCCGCCCGAGGGCGGCACGTCTAGGTTGCTGCACGCAAATGATCGGAATGCACGATAAAAATATGTTTAATTGATTTAAAGGAACATTCATTTATATAATATAAGTATGCATTCATCATCATCATCATTTTAGCCTGTTTAAGTCCACTGCTGAACATAGGCCTCCCCCATAGACTGCCACGAAGCACGATCCTGAGCCATCTGCATCCATCGACTTCCCGCACATTTGCAAAGGTCGTCACTAAATCTAGTGGGGCGTCGTCCTACACTGCGATGGCTAGTACGAGGCTGCCACTCGAGAACCTTTCTTCCCAAACAATTTTATTTATTTAACAAGGCTTACCAACTAAATACATATAGAAACAATTATTATGAGGTGCCCTTAAAAATTAAGTTAAACATTGTATATATGCATTAACAAAACATCTAATAAAATACGTCTTTCAAACTATCACTACAATAAAATAATAAAATAAGATCAAAAACAATAAACATAACTTATATAATGTATGAATAGAAAAAAGAGAGGAAGGAAAAAAAATAAAATGAAAAAGTTATTGAGCTGTGTAATGTGTTAGCACCTTCCTCTTTAAAACATTTAAGCTATCGAAATGGATATCCACATCACAATTTTGAAATGTTCAATTGAATGCATTCAATAAACATGATAAAGGTGTGTTTCTGCCATATTCATTATGACTCTTTTTAATATGAAATGGTTTGTAATTATGTAGACGTGCACTAATTCTTGGAACAATGACATCAATATCAATATCAAGTAAGAGAGGCCGACAGTCAATTTTAAAACTTAAGAGCTTGTGCAAGAAAGTTATACTTAATAGATCCTTACGCCTTTCTAAAGGTATCATATGGTCTATTCAAAGTGTGATAAGTCGCTTCGATGTAATTCATTCTAGCTAACATTCTTTTTTGTACCTTTTCTATAAGTTGTATATTGTTTTGATAACTAGGATACCAACAAAGGAACAGTAGTATCGGTACAGATCAACGCGAAATAGAAGACCTTTAAAGCTCGTATGGACTTAAATTCTGTAGTGTTGCAATTTATATTAATAAATCAACATTGTTTTCCTTTGTACAATATTTTTATCTTGACTTGGTTCGAATTCGTTTTGGTATCCATTCCATGCTTAGTGGCGGCATAAACGGCACGCGGGCGGACAGACGCCTGGCAACTCGTATGTCGTTCGACGGACGAGATATGGCTATAGGAAGGGGTCATTCCCATAGCGGTCATAGGGCTCGTTTGCTCAATGCCCCCACCTGCACCTGCCTGATTCCTAGGGCAGTGTAGTCTACACTAGATTTCGGTTAAACAAGTTTGGTTTCTTTTGTCGATAATGTCCTTTATCGTAATATTTGATAAAGTTTTGTCTTTATTCTACCCATTTTGGTGTAACAGTTGAACAGTGAAATTTTAAACGCCTACCAGTAAAAAAGTAGCAATAAATTCACTTGTGCAAATTGTACATTCTAGGCGGATCCACCCAAACGGTGACTTTGGCAAAAAACATTTAACTGGTATTTCAACTAGTTACTATATAATATATTTATAGTAAAAATGCAGAATATTCTATAAATTATAATTCTAGTATAGCATTTTGTTAAGTACCTGTTTTATAAAACTTCAACTTTATCAAAATTGATGTTTAAATTAGTTGCCCATATTTTAGATTGCTTTTAAATAGCTATAGGTGTCGATGGTATTTAACTACTTTTAGTCTTAAATTTAAAAAAAAATAGAGCATCCAAGAGCTTGTTTTTATATTTTGTTCCACGTTTTTAAATTTTTTTGCTATTAGCAAATTTTTTGCCCTCGGCTTATTATTTATAAAAAATGATTTAGCTTAGCTGACCTTTTCATCATAGAGGCCGCCCACAAAGCGGGGTGATGTCCTTAGTGACATCACCCCGCTTTGTGGGGCCCGCAGGACTCGCCTAAATATGACATCATCATATTTAGGCGAGTATTTGAGATTACCCAAACACATTGCCACGCACCAACTTTAATTTATCACAAAACACAATTCCTAATCTACAATATCATTAAATAATATAAAGATAAAGGTATATTAAAACATTCTCTTTTTGTCTGTCTGTAACTCATTTACTTAATTTTATAACAAGAATATTCGATGTGTTATGTTCTAGGGAAAACTTTAAAATTTTTCCGGTTTCTACGCCTACCGTAAGATTGTATGACACAAAACAGATTGTTAATAGTTTTTTCGAAGTAAAGTTGCAAGGCGTTTTATTTCATTTGAGTGTTTCTTTCACTTTTTTAGGTCTTAAATTAAGTCACAATCTTAATTTTTATCAAATTGGTCTTGTTGGAAGCTCTAATAAGCTTACATAATTCATGGGATCGCTAATGTATGTACTTGTCTAGAGAAGGACCTGCAATCAAATAATTTTCCGATTCACGTATGTAAGCGTAAATTATTACTTGTGTGTGTCAGAACTAAACATTATTAAATGAAAGTCCACGGTCCAGAGCACTGAAATATGTACGAAAAATCACGTCGGAAATAAAAACCAAAACAAAATGCGATAAAACCCGTAAATGGATCTTTTTAACCATTTATAAGCATTGTTATTTTATATAATAGTATGTCGTAGTTAGGGACTTTACATCTCAGATGGTTCATGAAACATTCGTTTCTTGGGTGTCTTTTGAAATATTTTGACAGAGTAATTTATAAATGAATGCTGATAAGTGAAATAAATTATTGATTACAAAATTTACCCGCAAATAAAAATTTCCCTAAAAAATTCCACCATCTCTCGAGTAGAGTTTAAAGAATTACGAGTATGTTTAAACAAATAAAAATTCTATGGTTTGTTAATGCATTTTCTCATTTATTTGCTGCTGAGAGTTTTGATGACCTTGGATTTGTCTCAGTGTTTACATATTAGGTCTTTAGGTTTATATACAAATAAAAAAATATTTATTCTATTATTTTATATTAAAGAAAATTATCTATTCTATTAATCATAACATTTGTAATTAATATCAATGATCCCTTGACATTTGCCCCAGTTTAATCATGCCTCCGTTGTAGAAATCGTACAGGACGAGAATCGATGAATTCTTTAAAGGTATTATCACAGCCTCGTCAGTTATGAGATTAATCTGCAGCATAGTTATCCAAATTAAAAAAAAAACACAAAATTACAAAGTTTGTTCTTTAAAATAATACGTAATCAGCTGTTGCTAATGCGGGTTGATGTAAAGTGAATCATCTCACTTCTGAAAATATAATGAAAAATTAACGGTGAAAAAATGTAAAAAAAAAAATTAAAAAATATATTACATTTTTATTTATTAATTAAATTTGGATTTCTAAATAGGAAGAAAGATATCGATCTTGTAACCAGTATTACTAATCGGTAATTTCCAGTACATTTAGAGAATATACTATCTATTATGGGTATAATGAATGTCTTTGAGACGTGGTAGTAATGAATAAAAAACATTTCCATATTATTTTAATAGCCTGCTTCCCTCAAAGGTAAAATCTTGCTTGTTAAACATCTGATTATCTTTTTGACACTGTTTTAGTCAACACTTTATTAGGAAAATCATAAAAACTAACAGGCTAGACGTTTGAATGAGCACAAATCGGGAGTGGCATTTTCATAAAGAAAAACAATTCAATTCCCATATTTTTTTATTCTACATTAAGAAATAGTAAAGTAACAGCCTATACATGTCCCACTGCTGGGCAAAGGCCTCCTCTATACAGAGGTTATCAGGGCATAGTCCACCACGCGGCCCCACTGCGGATTGGCGGACTTCACATATCTTCGAAATACATTTTTTTTGTTATTATTTCGAAAATATGCAGGCTTCCTCACGATGTTTTCCTAAGAAATATAAATTAAGAAATAGAGATCTTCCAAATCATATGATGACTCCGTGGCGTAGTTGCCCAGTATTGGCTTCGGCGTCGAGGGTCGTGGGTTCGATTCCCACACGGGACAACTATTTGTGTGACCTACAGATAATTGTTCCGAATCTGGGTGTTTGTCCGCGTGAAATTTATGTTTGTAAAACGTCCTTACAACACAGGATAATCTTATCCTATAGTAAGGGCAATGTTTCTTTAAAAACTGACATTGCAATACATATCAGCCGTTGCTAGGCAGTAATGTAGCTTACAGAGTTCTAACAGTGTCTCTAAGGCCGTCGACCCGCTCCCACGTAAGAATCGATGGAATCGCCAATTAACATTATTAGTCAGAACTTCCTGGGCCGTTATTAAATAACAACTTCCAGCATCCAAGTTTGCTGGGCGCTTTGGACATCACTATACCTTATTGCGCAATTTGGACATACGTTTGTTGGGCTTGGCGCGGCGTTTGATGTGACAGTTGATTAGTACTTGGATGCTCTGATGTCGATTTTAATTGCTTTATTAATTGTTAAAAACGCGATATCACACTAGTGGTGAGTCGCACGAGAAAAAGTGTCTGGACTATTTTTGTAGAGAATTGCATGATCTACAACTTTTGTCCGCTCTATTTTCACGATAAAATTGTCAATTTTCTCGAAAATGGAATAAACCTTTGCAGTTCGACGTTGGATAAAATTTTTCGCAGAAGTAGGATCGAAGGGGGTTTTTGAGATTTTATTTATAATTATGTATTTAAAGTCTCTGCCAATTTTTAACTCTATACAAATTTTGGATAAGTCAAATGTCTATTTTGACTGGACTATTGTTCAGACGACTCCAGATTTGCTCCATGGTTGGTTGGGGCCGATACCTGTCCGCCCTTCAGCGAGTCTGTTGAAATGGTTGTTTCAAATTTGGTTCTGTATTTTGCAATTTCCCTGTTGAAATATATCATTTTTACCAGCTTTAATCTTAACAAATATAATAAAGATAACGATGACCCCGTGGCGCAGTTGCCAAGGTATTATCTTCGGCGTCGCGGGTCGTAGGTTCGATCCCCACACCGGGCAACTATTTGTGTGACCAACATATAGTTGTTTTGCATCTGGGTGTTTCTCAACGTGAAATTTATGTTTGTAAAACGTCCTTGCAACACAGGAATGTTGTATGACATGTAATAATGTTATCCTAAAATAAGGGAAATGTTTTAAAAATAAAAAATAAAAAATTAGTTAAACATGTTTGTGGTTAATAATCACTACATAGTATAAAACAAAGACGTCCCAATGTCTGTCTGTCCCTTTGTATGCTTAGAACTTTAAAACTACGTTACTGATCTTGATGCGGTTTTTTTTACTAGAATTCGATTAAGTATGGAATAAAATATCCAGCAAATGACCCCCACGGCTCCGCTGGCGGGATTTATTCGCATAAACCCGAGATTTCACAAAAACCCAAAGAAAAAAATCGCACGATCGTGGTGGCCAGTTGACATCAGATTTTCGTGAGATAATGTGTTCTGGAAATCGTTCCTGCAATAAGTAGATTGTTTCATGTTTTCGGGATTTCGGCGACACTCTCGTTTACAGCAGAAATGTTTTCCAGATATCGACCGGTACGTTGACGCAAAGGATTCTTATTATCCATAATGACTCAGTTTCTTCAAATTTTTTGACCACTCTTCGAATGGTTGACACATTAAATGCACTTTCTCGGCTGAAAATTTGGAAAAGTTTGCGAGCGGATGCAGCATAACTTTCCCCATTTTTGTAATGTGTTTTCACAACTATAACGCGTTGTTCCTTCGAAAAGCGCTCCATTTTTAATCAAATTGACAGCTGTCAAATTTCAGAGTTGCCACTTGCATGAAAAAAAAAAAATATTCCAATTTTAAAAAGTGCACTCTTATTGAGACACCCGCTTTAATGCATTGTACCCGTACGAAGCCGGGGCGGGTCGCTAGTTTATTATACACTAACGAGCCCAAATAAACTGTCGCTTAAAACAGAGTAACTTTGTAAGGTTAACAACATTAAAATCGAAAATGTCCACGGGCGTGTGAATCCAAAATTTAAATTTTAGTTAGGTATTATGATTTTAATTCCATGGCATTGGTGTTAACATCGCCGCTGGCTCGTTCCATTTTCGATTTTGAATTCCGTTTTCGAAAAATATAAATTAGGCAGCATTTTGAATTCGCAGAGCCAACGAAGGTTGTGTTATAACTAAGACGAAGGAAATATTTTGTAAACAAATAACACACACGTTTTAGAGATTGCTGTTTTTCCGTATCAAAAATATGGAATGTTTTTTTTATCGCATTCTTTTTGTCGCATTTTAATGTACGGTTAATTTGGGTTTTTGTAACGTCGCTTAGGTGTTTTAAATTTTTCGTAATGTTAGATGCATTGAAGGTTTTTTATTTCAAATATTAGATATAGCTGAGGTAGGTTGATTTCCACTTCAACATCTCTTAAGCATTAAAGATTCAGAGTGTGTGTTGATTAATCTAGAAACTGTATTGTGATACAGTTTCCAGTTATTTGCAGAATATTTAATTGATTAAAAATTCAAATTAAAGGTAACGACTACTTTAACTAATGTGTAGGTATGAAAGTAGAAAAAAACACATATTCGACGTAAAAATCAGACGATTCAACTCTTTTATTTGATTTCATCTATACTGGTATTAAATATCTTAGACGTCAAGACAGAATAATACTTTTATAAAAATCTTATCTTTATAAGTAAATACAGGTATGACTGCTAGGCCTAACGTCATTCAGATAAGTTCAAAAATTCTTTGCTGTTTTTTTAAATTCCCAAACTAATAAAGCTAAGGCTCGTAATGACAGATATTAAAAACTAATAATGTTAAAAGTAAATTACGACGATAATACGACGACAGTAACGATACAATTATTTTACTTTTTAAATTAAGAGAATTAAAATTACTATTCTGTTTATTATTATTCAAATTTACAACAACGAATATACGTCCCATATACGTACCTTATGTTTCGTAGAGTTAATGTCAATTAACGGTCTGTTGTAGCTCAGCGCAATAAGATCTATGACTCAGGCCTACCCAATAG